CAAAATACAAAAAAAAAGCAAATAAACAAGTAATTCAACTCCTTTTTTTAAGTAAGAAAATAAACATTTTATTGCCTAAAATGCAATACTGTACCACTCCTCTAGTAACCCAGATGAAGCTAGAACCAAAACACATAAGACGTTTTGGCTAAAACACATGTTTAATATATTGTTTGTATAGTTTTTATAATCCTGCTCTGAATTTGATGTTTTTTTCACCAGATGACCTTTATTGAGTCTAGACTCCAGATACTAAATTAGTGGATGGTTTTTTTTTTTAAAAAAGTGATTATTCACAAGTAATTTGATTAATTGTTTCAGCAATAATTTTTTTATTGTAGTTTCTTTACAAAAACACTCAGTAAAATTTTTTTTTTAGTCTTGGTCCAAATGTTTGTTAGCTTTAGCAATCCCTTTTTGCTCAGACATCGATCCATGCCAGCTAATTTCTCTCTTAAGTTATTTTCAGTTTTCTGCAATCTAAAAATAAAGACTGCCCAGAAAGTCATTTTGCGTTTGATAGTAATCTAAAACATTTCCTCCTTTTGATTCATGTGGTCTTTGTGTGTTCAAGAGTTGGACAGAGGTGAACAAGAATAGATTTGTGATATTTGACAGGGTGCAAATGCACCAGATTCAGCCAACAGGCCGTTTTTCATCCGCAGTCCCTGGAGCAGGAGAAACGGAGCACATTTTATCCTGAAACGTTCCAGAGATGTTCAGGATGCAGTTATTTTTCCCCCCACATCTTCTAAAGACTGCCTTTAGGAAATCGGCAGCGCACCAAATGTTCTGCTGAAGGCATTGTTCTCCCAACCTTTCCTGTGCTTTCCACTCTCTCATTAGCATTGTGCATACGTTCATTGACATTAAGCTCGTCAATGAAGCCTGCTGTTGCAGGGCCACCAATAAGATTCTCTGCATTACAGTGTGCAGAAATGGCCGCAAAATGGTGATGTTTTTATTACCGTTTCATCAAAATTGACAAAACCCAAAAGAAAAAAAGCCCGTAGTCCTTAACAAAAACATAGACTAAACTATTGCTACAGGCCTTTGAGCAGCCGGGTCTATTAATCTTTTGCTCTACACTGTCTGGATCCATACTCAAGTGATCAATTCCTGGCAAGTCCAGCCAGCAATTCTATTCATACCGCTACATACTTATGCACGCGTGAGGCAGAGTTCGCTGTGTTTGTGTGGATCCCTCTGATAACTTTGTAGGAGTTTTGTGGAATTAACCCGTTTTTCGCCAGGGAAGCAGTTCAGGTGTTTCCTCCCTCCCCCAACCATCTGCCGTCATCGAGCTTGTTAAGACGCCGCTGCTGCGGATGAGCTGGTTACAGTTGAAATGTGTGAAACAGCGGCGTTATCTCCTTGTTGCTACTGATTGTTTCACCTCCACCCTTGTTCTGAGAGAACGGCTCATCGCTCCTTTATCAAACGTGGGTTTTAAAAATAGATCAGAAGTGAAACAAGCGTTAAAAGTCTTGTGTTACCGCTTCACAGGAGCTGCGGTGAGACTGGGAGGCAGTTTGTAAAGGAGTGTAGCACTGATTTCAAAATAATGTTCAAATGTCGTCCTTGGATCAATTCAAGTTGATCCGGTGTGTTTAAATAGCTAAGTTCATAATTCGCAAAACAAATACAATTTATATACAGAAACATCAGTTCAATTCAGTCATTTATTAAACTGATTTATATTCAACTAAATGCATTAGAATTTGGTTATAATGCTGTGAAGTCAAAATCAGGTTATTATGGCAATTAAAAAACACGTTTTTGTGTGAGGAAAATCATTAATCTTTCACATTTAGTAAGAATGCGGCAACAGTGAAAAGAAACAACTTCTTTTTTAACAAGAAGAAAAAATTTAGATCGAACAGAAGGAGCTGAAATCAGAGGACAAATAAAGTATGAATTTATAAATCCATGAATTCATTAAAGGTATAAATTCGTACATCACTCAGTACAGGACCATCGTTTCCGGATTGATACAAGGGCAGAAACAATTAATTGCGATGAATCAATCATTGAAATGATCAAAGAATCTTGAAAACATAGAGTAGAAATGAATGAAACCTCCATTCAACATAAGAAAGCGACAATAATTTTCATATCATTTTTACTTCAAAGCCACTGCAGAACTAGACAAGCATGAAAACCTTTTTTTTTTAAGTGTTTTTGATTTTCGCATTTTTATTTAAAAACATAAAATCAAGAAAGAACATTTACGTCAGGATTTACGTTTCATTTCCACATCTTGTCATCTTCAGGTAGTAAAGCGATATGTTTTGTTGAAATCATACGTGGAGTGTCTTCTTTCTTCTTTTTGTCATAATAATGTTTTGTTGGTCAGTAGGATTTTTACTAGCAAGGAAACTCAATGTAAAATGTTTGTATTCATGTAGGAAAGTCCTCTAACTGGTCTTTGGCATCAAGAATCTTGAAATGGAAACTGCAGCATTAATTTAGTGTCTCGCCGCTGCGGCTCCTGTGATCGCACCTTTTCTGAGTAAATCTCTGTAATACGTTCTCTCTTTTGGACGGTTAGCAATCAGAAACATGTTTGCAGCACAAGATCAAGTGAAGCCTTTCTCCTGAGATTGGTCAACCAAACAACAGAGCAGTCGCTAATGTCAACACGACGCTGCTTCCTGTGTGAGTGTGGGAACGCTGCACAAAGTGCTGACGTTCTGAAAGTGAACCGCTGAACTTTCTAAATGCCCCCTTTAAACCAGTGCTTTGTTTTTGTTTTGTTTTTTGTGAGGTTTTGTGTTGTGTTACACAGACACTTTCTCTTATTTTTCTTATTCTAAAACAACAACAACAAAAAAAATTTGAATGCAAGTCAATCGACGCTATTCCATGGCTTTTCCTACTCGGTTTGGGTTTTTCAGACTTGTTGGACAGTTCAACAAAGATTTCAATGTGCATGTTTGATGTTTTTATGCCTCTTGTGGGATTAGTGAGTAAGAATAATTCAATATAAACAATTAATTGAGCTGCTGTAAATAACGAAGCAAGGGCGAAAACAAATTTGGGAGCTGAAAAACATCAACGTCGGCACAAATTTGGAGCGACGACGACAAAAGAATCGGTGAAAGCCACGAATTTTGGTTCGCAGCATGAAAATGGCACAGTTTGTAAAATTATGTTGCTGTGATTCTTGAGGGTTTTAAATGAAAAGCCGTTTTCATTTAGAAACTAAATGTTTTAAATACAAACAAACCTAAACTAGCATGAACATAGCAGACCTCCCTAAGCATTGAGAAAAGACGCCGATGCAACCGCTTGGTTTTATTCTTTCCATGTGACAAGTATCCCTAATTATTCTGCATTAAATAACCTTGATACCTTCAATAATATTTACTTCATACAATTCCATGTGCTACTCATTTTAAGAGTATCACATAATGTAATGATCATCAGTGTTAAATATAGAGCATGAAAATCTTGGACACAAAAATTCATGTTTGCAATTTTGAATAAAAGCTGATTTAATGAATCATCTGCGTTGGAGGAATCTATTGCACGATACATATTTATTGACCTACATTTACTATTTAACAACGTTTATTCATAATGAATTATTTAGCAGTGTTTGAAAGCGTGTATTGGCTAGAAAAGTCTATTTTTCTCTTTTCTATAAAGTTCAAAAGAATGATTTCAAAAGAATTTGATTGAACTGCAATAATAATGTTTTTAAAACAGTTTCTCTACCTGCAGACAGCAATGTTTAACAATAGCCTGTGTCTGGGCAGGACAGCTGTTGCTGATAAAACCTTAGTATATGTTGGGTACACCTAATGGTTCCCACTGAAAAGCACAATTTATTGTGGTTTGTTATGCATGTAAAGCACTCAAATAATTAGTCCTTCCAGAACGATCTGGACTTCAGATGTTGGATGCGTTTACATTCTTGAACGCCTCTCACTCTTTATCACTCCTCCTGCTCCTGCCCATCCTCACTCATAAAAAAAACAACAAAAAAAAAACACTTTACGTCCCACACCGTGTGCATTTGTGGTGGTGGAAACTCCCAGCAGATGGGCACTCTGGGAATCGTAGGAGAAATGCTTCGCCTGGCGCGGGCTGCCAGGAAGTGAAGTCATGATGTAAAACAAATTGCACGATAAATCCGTCTCTCTGTTTTGCCGTCTCGTGAGTGGTGGGGAGAAAAAAGGAGATGTTACAAAAAGGTCGCGAGTTAGACCGTGTTGATCTGCTTCAGAAAGCCGCCGCAGGAAGTCCAATGCCTTCTGTTTCTCATGCCCTCGTTTCTTCTTTCTGTGATTTCCTGCATACAGAAAGTCATACGCAGATGCTTACTTCAGAGGATAACTCAAAAACAGCATCGGTAACTGACTGTAGTTCTTAACTAAGAGAAAACAAATATTTGAGTTGTTTTTCCAACTCAGAGAGTCAAAAAGGTTTTGTAGGTACAGAAATAACAAATACTTTCTACAGATGGGGCTGCAACATATATCAACATATTGTCAAAAACTGCAATAAAGCGTAGCTGATTGTTTAAGTGTGGCGTTGTGCCCCAAATATCTAATTTTGCCCTGGGCCTCATTCAACCTTGGACTGGCCCTGCAGTTTTTTATTAAATCTGCAAAACCTCGTATTTTATGTTTTAACATTGTAATGGAGTAGCAGCAGCCAGTTAAATACGCTTAATGAATTTAATATGTGATCAAGTATAAAACAATGTATTTGTACATGAAATATTTTACCAAACTTTGCAGATAAACGGTGCAACTATATAATGAACATGTGTAGAGCCAATAAATCCACTTTCTGTAGAGTAAATGTCTGAAATCTGAAATCTTGATTTAAAAAAAAAAATAAATTTAAAGCTGGTGGAATTGCTAATGCTGCTCGACATTTTAAAAATGTGTAATATCTGGAATCCAGATGTGTGTGTTTCATCCTCTGGTGTCAGGGTAAATAAAACGAGCAGAGCTTTATGTGTGCGTTTCCTCTGTCTCTTCCTGCAGGGCAGGACAGGCGGCGCTGCGACACATGGAGCATGAGAGGCTGGAGCTGAGGATCAGCTGACCCCTCTCCCCTTCTCCATCTCCTCCTCACCCCTCCTCTTGCTCCGCTCGATCGACGTCGCCTTCTTTTCCTCCTCACCCCGTCCCGCCTCACCCTGTTGGATCCCGTCCGACCTCCCCCCTGCCCCCCTGCAAGCCTCACTCAGCAGGGCCCGATGTATTCCCCGGAGCAGGAAAACATCTCCACCACCTCGTCCACCAAAGTGCCAGTGAAGTACGGGGAGCTCATTGTGCTGGGGTAGGCGAAAACTAATGACGTCATCTTCAAAGCGTTTCACACGCCGATTCTATTACAGTCATTTCAATCATGAGGTGTGAAAATGTAAACAACACAACCTGATGTGGGAGAAAACGTGGATTTCTGTTTGTTATAATTCTGCACATAAAGGGAATATTTCAATCCTACAACACATAAATATTATATGATTCCATGCTGGGGTTTTGGGGATAAGCATGATTTCTCAAAAGCTGCAAATCCTTTTTTTGTGCTTAATTTCTGTTACTTTGGCACAGGACGAAAGAAAGAGGCCAAATTTGGGACGTTCGCTGTAAAAATGCAAAATCTTACCAAGTATTTTCAGTCTAATTTGGTCTAGTCCAAGTACACTTGAAATAAGACAAAACTAACTTACAAGTAACTTTTCAGCCAGATATAGGAGCTTGCTTTAAAAAAAAAGCAAGACAGTGGAACAAGACATTTTAACTATTAATATGGGAAAACTGTCTTCTCCTATTGGCAGATTATTTTTATTTAGTGCCTTTTAATAAATATTAAGGAATTATTGATTTGAAACAAGATCCAGCACCTTGCTGTAAAGTTACTTGTAAGTTAGTTTTGTCTTTGAGCTGCTCCAAAAGCTCCACTATAACCACAGAAACTGCAGCAGCTGAAAATGTTACAAATTTTGCACTCCTATTACTCCGAGTCTCCCAAAATAATAGGAGTGAAAATTGTGACATGAAAGGTGAAGAGAAATAAATCTAGCAACCAGATTTTGAATAAAAACCTAACCAGTATGTATAAGAAACATGTTGTTTATTGGTTCTGTGGCAATGAAATGAAAGCAGCGACTAGAAGTGAAAATGTTAGTTATATTTATGTTTCCTCTCTCTGGTAATCTGCTTGAATTACCCAGAGAGAGACTCAGTCTCAACAATTAGACATGCCTTTGCATTGTTCCTTTGTTTACACTGTAGCACAAGGAAGGCTCAGACTCAATGACAGAACAATGGAGAGGGGGGAACAAACCTTCAGTAGCATTTAGGTGTGTGCAATGTCGGGAACCTCTGGATATGTTCACATTTTCCACCAAGTTAGCAGAATTAGATTCTTTAGCATTGGATGGTTATCAAGGAATCAAACTGGAACCTGTTTCCACAGTGGAACACACACACACACACGCATGCACACCCGCACACACCCACACCCACACACACACGCACACACACTGGAGATATTTCTCTCCTGCTTCAGAAAAGAACAGTTATTTTTGCAGAAGGAAACGAACATCATTGCTAGATGAGATAACATTTGGCTGACCGCAGCATCCGATCAGAACATTTCATTTCGTCAGATGTTTGTTTTTCTTAATCAAACTGAGGGGGAAAAAACCCCAACAACCCCTCGCCCCACCCCCGCTCCACTTCTTCGGCTTACCCAAATCGAGCGGGACGGACTTCCACAATCTGTAATGCCCACAAAGATATTCCAACCATCCTCCCTGTACGCCACGGATCAGCGCCGGGAGATCCTCCCTCCCAACCGTCTCACACAGCCGAGTCACGGTGTGTTGTTCTGGGCTGTGCCGGAGCAGCATTGTCAGGGAGAGCTGACCGTGGAAATTTTCCCCAGTGGAAAAAACACATTAAGCAGCGCACATAGTTCCATGCCTTTACAAGGGAGAACCCCAGTTTTCCGTTTGCTGTGCTTTTTCCGCCCATAGTTTTTCATTCTAGGTCAGGCCAACCGGTTTTTGTTTTTCTCTTCTGAAAAAAAGGTTGAGATGGGCACTTTTCTTCTTTTTTTTTTTTTTCATATGACCTGCAACAGGAGACGTCACCCTCCTCAGCTGAAAGTAAAGCTGCTCTTTAAAACTTTAAACGGTTCAATCATAGGGGTCGAACCCTTAACCCTGACCTTTATTCGCTGACCTACTGCAGGCAAATGGCTCCATTACTGTGCTAAGCAGGACCGGTTGCTCCATTAACCCGTCCCATCTGCAACATAAACCCTTTCTGGGTAATTGAAACTGACATGGAGGGCAGAATTGTAAAAGGTGCACAGATATTTGTTGCTGTAAACATTTCAAATTAGCACTGGACTTCCCATGAGGAGCCTGCCGGGAAGCTAAAGTGACCTGCTACTTACTATACAACTTAGCAACTGAATGACATGCATGAATGCTAATAAATCCTTATAAAAGCCAGCTAATCTGGACTGGATAATACTTTGCAACAGGCTTGCTTAAGGTCTATCATCTCTTTTTTTATTACGTGTTGAATGGCAGAAAAATATAAAACTGATGGAGGTGGAAACAAATTGTTGCACTCTCCACATTTCCAGCAATATTTACTTTTTTTTTTTTTGCCTGCAAAAACAGCACTTGCCTCCAGTCATTTTCAGTCATAGCTAGTTTAGTGAAATCAAAAGACAAACTGGTACATAAATGTGCTTTTGTGACAAAATGATTTGCCGTTTAAGTGAAGTGTTTACACTATTCAGTCACGTTGGTTGGAAGTCAAAAGATGGCCTACTTTTTCAATCACCTCATCAACAGGTTGGAAGAAACCTGCTGCTCTAACGTCTTCTGGTTCCTGTCCTCGCTTTGGACCCGAAAGACACGTGATTTCGTTCAGTTGTGTAACATATTTGCATGTCGGTACAGTTTACCTCAAATCAGACTTAAGTTGAGTCGATTCTTATGTAATCTGTTCAGTATGAGTGTTTTCTTTTTTACCCCCGGTGATGAGCTGACAGGCTGGTGCATTCAAATGTCCTTTTAATCATCTGAGTCAGATGAATCCGGCTTTGAATTCTGCGTTGCAGCCAAGACATATTTTAAGTTCTTGTGTCTTGAAGTATACATGTGGACAGTTTGAACTTTTCATAAAATTTTAACTTCTTCAAATAATATTTGAAACAGAAACATGAACACAGAGCTTCAGAGTAACGTCGTTTTTTTCAGTGTTTGTCTTTTGGGAATTGTCTCTACAGAAGTTGTTTAATGTTGATTAGCCGACCTTATGTCCTTCATGTTTGAAGGAAAAAAGACTTTCATAACATTATTGGTTACTCTTGAGTTACAGGGAAAGCTCCAGCTCTTTCTGCGCGAGCACAAACAGCCTGCAGGTTCACATTCACAGGCTTGCACTAATTTCTTGTTAACCTTTGCTCCCTCCACTTTCGGGAAACGCTTGGATACATGTACACACACAGCTCTGCTTCCCACAGGAGCCTGCCTTTGAACCGCCTGCGGCCCTCCGAGCTCTGCAAGTAGTCTGCCGTGGCCTCTCTACGGATACGGGCTAAACTTCCCCATGGTTACGCTTGTGCCATGACAACTCTTCCCAAACGTTGCTCTCTCTCACCATGGTTACACACAAATCCTCACTGTGTTGTTTGAGTTTTAGTGCCTGGGCTCTGGCGGAGGAAACGTTTAGCCCCGTAGGCTGGGCGTCCTCACAACATGCCTGAGCTACCTTTACTGGACCCGACGCCAAGTGTGTATGGGTGGAGCTGAGTCGACGATCTGATTGGTCAAAGACACATAGGACAAGTTCTCTTGCATGAGAGCATTTTAACACGTCCAAGTAGTACACCCAATGCCCGCGTAATACTTTTTGATTTTTGTTTTTTTTTTCTCCCAAACTACATCTCATAGAAAGCTTTTATGAAGCCCACAGTTATTAGTTTTCTCTTATGTAAATTTGTTTCGGCTTACATTTGCGATTCACAATATTTTTAGCTTCTGCCCCACAAAAAGAATCCAAGCACTACGGATGAGTCTAAATGATCAAGTAGTAGTAAGAAAGCAAAAACAATTTATATTGCGATAAACAAGTTATTAGTAACAATATTCAATAATCTCACTGAACTCCGATCCAGAACTGCACAGCATTCTGGGGGATGGAGGCGGAGGAAAGACTTCAGCCGCAACCTGTTGAGTAACTTGTGGTTACCTAGCAACAACTTGCTAAATAACTTGCACAGCAGCAGTTTCATGTTTCTTCACCGTGCCTCATGAATTCTTAAAATAAATAAATAAAAAAAAAACCCAACAAAGTAAAAACTGGATAAAACTAGAAAGGCCATGTCACCAGTTTGGCATTTAAAACAAAAAACTAATAAATAATTATTATCAACCGATATTAAACGCTTTCATCGTGATACGTTTTTCTGTCATATCGTCCAGCACTATAATCAAGTATAATGACACAAAGGACCTCAACCGCTGTTACCATAGTAGTTCTTTATAATGTTTGTATTAATTTCTGGTTGGTTGATTTAAGACCCACATTGGGTCCCGACATCTTGGCTTCCAGCAGTATGACCGTCCATACAGAAAATCTCAAGTTGCAAGTAAGCAAGTTGAAAAAACAGTGTTTTGCCTGAAGCAGGTAGTGCTATGAGCGTAAAAGATTTGATGAGTTATAAATTGTTAAAGGTGAGACTTCATCAGAAGTGAAAAGTGCATTTGTGTACTTTGAGTCTTCTCTCTGCACTTCATCTGAAATGAGGGTCAAAATGCGGACGCAACCTCTTATTCTTCTGGATGTGTTATACTACATGCAGCGTCTTCTATAAAGCTCTGCTGCTTACGGGAACGGGAAGTTATATGCTGGTCAGAGCTGAAATTAAACTCTTTTTTTTTGCAATAACACATTTTGAAATTCAGAAAGAGCCTGGAGTAGATGGTGACGAGGAATGGCTTCCGAAAGTTTTCATCCTGAAGTTAATAAGTGATAAACTCTCCCTGACTGCAGAGTCGGGGTGTAGCTGAGGGCCAGAGACTCGGCTCTGTTTATTCTGGTTTCCTCAGACAAATACCAGCCCAAATTACTCTCTCTGTCTGTTTATTTTCTCAGCCTTCCTGGTCTTGTATTTGGAGGACTTTGTTGTTGTGTAATGGCATTTTGTACTTTTGTTTAAATGCATGAATAAAAAATACAAGCACCGGTTTGTGGATGGGTCTGCAGTGCAGCGAAATGCCTCAAGCATTTTCCACTGTGACTGTTATTCCAGTGTATTATCCAGCTGCCTAGACAATAAACGCCCTGTTCTTTTATGTGTTTACATTTGCGTTTATGCGCGTGTGTGTGTCTGTGTGTAGGTACAATGGTTCTCTGCCCAACGGGGACCGAGGTCGACGTAAAAGCCGCTTCGCACTTTACAAGAGGCCGAAGGCAAACGGGGTGAAGCCCAGCACAGTTCACGTCGCCTGCTCTCCACAGGCAGCCAAGGTGAAAACTCACTGACACACACAGACAGTTAAAGTCAAAGTCATGCATTCCCTTGACAAATTGAGACTTCAAATTATTTTCATTCAACTAAAATGTTTTTTCCTTGTAGAAAATGAGATGTTTCCCAATTTCAGAACATCTTTCTTCATGTTTTCACTTGCATTTTGAGGATTTATCTTCAGTCCTGAACAACCGATGGAAGGCCTCCTTGCCATCACCCTAATCTTTAGCTTTCTCCACAAATTCTCTATGAGACTGAGGCCAATACAGAATGTTAATATTTCTCCCAGTCAGAAGAAATGTGTTGGTAAAATTAAAACATCAATTAAAACATAAGGCTTTCTGGTGTGTGAATGATGTATCAGATTTTTTGTGGCTGGTTTCTGATGTCAGGTTTTGATCTACCAAAAACAATTTAAAGAAACATCTCATTAAATACTGTAACATATGAAATAGTAGCTACTACAAAATATGGTTTTACTGTTTTAGAAAGGAGATAAAATAACATTTTAAATTGTCTTTGCTGTGTTATGTTAGCGGTTAGTGAGGCTAGCATTACCAAAACAGCAGCTCTTATCTATGCTGCGTTCGGTGGGGATTTTTGGTGCATCTCTAATGATTTTTATTCAGGGTTAGTATTGTTGGGGATCTTTTTCTGTTTTAGTGATGTTTTCATTGTTACTTTACGTCTTTCTTGTTTTTTCTGCCAACTGCTGCTCTTGAGTGCCTTTCATCACTGGCTGAGCATCCAAGTCACTGTTTCCTGTCCAGGACACAAACAGAGTGAGCTCACTTCTAAATCTGACAGCCCCCTCCTCGAATCGCCACCTTACCGAGGTGGAGGGGTTTGAGTGCCTCAAGGACCCCAGAAGCAATGTTGTCCGGGGCAGTTTTTGCCCCTGGTAGGGTCTCCCATGGCAAACTGGTTCTGGGTGAGAGGTCAGACTAAGTGCGATTCAGTGGATTATTTTTTTTAAGGAATACATGATTGAAGGATTCGGTTAACTACGTCGCAGGAAGACCCAGAAGAATATCTTCTGGTTAGCACCTGGTAAGAAACCGCCCAGCCTCCTACGGCACAAAAAAAGGAGTGGAATATTAACTGAGCTACATTTGACAATAAAACCTTTGGCCACGTTGAGTTCTAAGATGTCTAAATATGATCTGGGAATCTTTTAACCATTCAAACCTTCTACAACTCAACAAATAATCAAGTGCTTAGAAAGTAACCTGTTTGCTTCAAGAAGTTGACAAAGATGTAATTTGTTGCCAGTTCTATAATCTATATAAGAAATCCCACCGATAACTGCTTGACAGAGGAAACTAGGATTTTCGCTCCATCAAGGTTAATCCCAAATAAATAAATTATTAAATGTTTTTTTTTTCCCCAGTGTAACGTGCTGTAGATACAGTAGATTTATAGCCTTGACATTTCTCTTTTTGTTTGCCATCTGTCCAATTTCTTTGTTCTTCAGCACCGACTTTCATCGCCAGGTGCTGCGTTCGAAATGTGTGGGCAGGGAAGTTCAAAGAAAAACTTTGGAAGACCTTCAGAAAGCCTGAAGACCATTTTAAGAGGAAGAAAGAGTGGCTCTTTGGAGAGAGAGGACAGCTTAAAACTGTTTTTGTTTCAAGCTGTCAAAAACACACAAAGTTCTCCGGAGCTGGACTCTCCACCACGTGTTGGCTTTGTGATTTTAAAAGACGGGAACGCAGGGGGAGCTCACTGTGACGGCAAACACAGGCCGGTCGAAGGAGGGCGTTTTAACGCGGCGTTTAACGGTGAAGGTTTTATAAGGGAAATAAGCGAGCGGTTCAGTGCAAGGCAACGGAGTGTTTTCCTGCAAAATCCTGGGAAGCACATGTCTTCATCATCGGAAACCCTCAGAATCTGTTAAATGGTCAGAGAAAGGTAATAAGTGAGGGACATCTTTCAGGTTTAAAAAAAAAAAAAAATTATGTTATGGTTTGACATCTGTAATAAGCAGTGTGCCGACTGTGGAGACACTTCTACGCTCTCACTTCAGCAAACCTAAAGGCTTGTTGTGTGCAGTATCTCAAACAATCTGGAAGAGTCATTGACCTCTTTAGTCGCGTGGGTGGTCTGGGGTTTGCTCCAGTTCGTGACGGCACTTCTGACATCTGTTGCTCTCTGAAAACTGAGCTCTTTTTCGATCAAACCATGTCCAAGTCGTCTAATGAGTTATTGTGACAGCATCTGCAGTTAGTTTTGTCTTCTTCTCTCCATTCTCTGCCTCTGTTGTCATCCATCATGCCTTCCTTGTCTCCCATCAGGCCATAAGCAACAAAGACCAGCACAGCATCTCTTACACTCTGTCCCGAGCCCAGACTGTGGTGGTGGAGTACACTCACGACAGCAATACTGATATGTTCCAGGTAAAGCAGCCCAGATTTTATCACTGAGCCTGGAGTTTTACAGCCAGTTTACAATGTTTTTTCAATTGATTTATTTTCTGGGGGTTTTTTCCACCTCTCTGCTTCATTTACACGCAGCAGTTAATTGGGATCTGTGTAACAAAGCTGGTTTGTGCAGAGGTTTTCAAACACAATGACGTTTGCGTCATAAAGAGCCGTGGAGTCTGAAAGCAAATGCAGCAAAGTTCAGTCAGACCTGTCCAGCTGGAGGTAGAAAATGCCGGCCATGCTAACTAGCCTTAGTAGACATAGTGTAGCTTAACAGAGAGCAAGGCTACAGCTCCTCCTCTTCCTCCTCCCCATTTTCCAGCTTTAGTGGAGCTAAATTTAGATAGGTTGTTCTATTGAGAAAATTCTAACTTTATTAATGTATTCAAGACAATACTTTCCTTTATTTTCTTGAGACTTGGAAATTTTTTAATTTGGTCTAAAACTTGAAATTAGACGTGAAATTACGCTACCAATAGCAAGTGGTAGATTTTGTGTTTACAGCAGCTATTTAGCTGGAGTGATGCTAAAAACAGTTCCTTGAATTGTAAAAGCTGCTGACCCCAAATCAGCCAATCGTCAATCAGGGCATCCTGATTGCAAATTTGGTTGCAATAGAGCTTTTCGTCCATTTTGGTTGTTAATCATTCTTGACCTTATAAGTGGCAGAAAACAGTGTCAACTAGACAAACTCTGTACCTGTTACGTGCCTTGAGAGACTTTTGTTCCTCAAAAATATGGAAAAAATGGAGCAAAATGACAAAATAGCATAACAATAAAATTAGTTTTTTGGGGGGGTTTTCTGAGCAACATCAAACACAAAAACACATTTTTAAAAGGTGAGCATTTTTGATGTGAAACATGCAAAACATTCAGACTTGGAGAGGTTGCGGTACAAAATATATCCACAGCATTTTCTAAAATTACCCTACTCTTTGCTTGGGTAGCAAAAACACTGTGAGAGTCTGTTGCCATGTTATTTTGGTACAGTGATGATGCAGGTCGCTGTCAGGGGCAACAAAGTGCCTGTTAGCACAAAGTCAAGGTTATTCTGCTCTTAGAAATACAACAAAATCAAATAAATTACATGCCATTTTCTTTGTACTTTCCTACACCGGCTCATTATTACCTCTACAAACATTGTGGTTTTCTGATGCTCTGCCTTTGTTATTCTCAGCTTCTCCAAAGCTAGATGAAAAAGCTGAACAGATGTGCCTCGTAGATGTTCTGAGTTTTTTCTACCTGTCGCCAGATCGGCCGATCGACAGAGAGTCCGATAGACTTCGTGGTGACGGACACTGTGGCTGGCAGCCAGAGCAACTCGGACACTCAGTCGGTCCAGAGCACCATCTCCCGCTTCGCATGCCGCATCATGTGCCAGCGCACGCCGCCTTACACAGCTCGCATCTACGCCGCGGGCTTTGACTCCTCAAAGAACATATTCCTAGGGGTAAGCGCCGTTTCATCTTCACACGCAAGTCAGAAAAACACAACGCGACTCCATACATAAAACATCTTTAGATCTTTATTGAAATAGCTCCTCCCTGGTGTGAAAATGTGGCGTTTCGGGCTGGATAACGAATGATTTTCCACATCAATTTCCACATCAGGAGAAAGCTGCGAAGTGGAAGACGTCCGATGGACAGATGGACGGGTTGACCACCAACGGCGTCCTGGTGATGCACCCTCGCAACGGCTTTATGCAGGACTCCAAACCGGGAGTATGGAGGGAGATCTCGGTCTGTGGGAACGTCTTCACCCTGCGAGAGACCCGCTCGGCACAGCAGCGGGGCAAAATGGTGAGATCATTTGTATATAAACTTAGCGCGGCCGAGATGGGAAGATTTGGTCTCTTCGTGTTTCCGTTGTTAGGAAGTTTTCAGCTCAAAATTGTTGCCTGCAGTGGGGTAAAATATTGCTGCGAGAGATCTTACAGGTAAATGACTCGCTCATTTGCAGAAAATTCAGACTGACCCAGAAAAAGACCTCACACTTTGCTTATCATACACTGATGCCTGATCGTGCCCAGTCGAACCTTTACGCCATCAGAAGGTTATCTGGATGCCATCTCCCAAGCAACAGTCCGCCAGACAAAACTGTGCGTAACACGATCTTGCAAGGGATCCTCCAGCTGCCTCTCAGCCAATCACAGCCGCTCACCTTCACAGCCATGACTCATTTATCTAACTACACTCAAGACGCCGGTGGTCTTAATTACGTTGTTTCATTCCCTCCTGTACAATATCCACTTATTAATGTCTAGCTAGTGTCCCAGCAGTTCTCAAATTAACAGCTCCCCCATCTCCAACTACATCCACTGCTCCTTGTTTCACAGTTCAGTTGTTCTCAGACTACCTGCACAACATCTGAGGTTTTTTTTTTTTTGCAATTCTGAATGTTATTGATGAAAAAAATATGCATGTATTTTTTTTTTTATTTTCCATCATCTGCATCGCAAAAACATTACTGCATCATCTGCATATCGGAACGTTCATATCCGCTGGATCAGACAAATGCACAAAAATGCGTTTCCATTACAAATGTCTATACTTTGTCTATATTCCTCTAATGGAAAAGAACAAGAATTACAATTTCACACTTGCGGTGTTTCCATGAAATAATAAACGCAATTAAAACAAACATTTGAATAAGTTTGTTCACGCGATCCTGAAATATTTCTTGTATTCCTCCTCCAACTACTTCCTGTCCTCTTCTTCTTTGTGGTTTGCGCCAGTGGCAACATCCTGTTGTTGATCTCGTGAATCAGGTGGTGCGAAAAAATAAACCAATTTCAATACAGCAAGAAAAATTAACTCATCCCAGCATCAGGACCTTTTTTTATATTCAAAATACTTGTTGGTTAGTAAATGCTGTGTTTCCATGAAGCGTGTTTATTTTCAAAATGTCAAATTGCGTAATTATACGGTCAGCGAAAATTGCTGGTAAATGATCTGCGTTGGTCTAATTTGATCAAATGGGTGACGATGGGGAAAAGTTGAGGTTTACATAGATCACACATCTGGGCATTCAGACTGACTGAGGAAGTTTTTCAATCTGCCGTCGTTTTGATGTGGTTTGTAGGTGAACAGATGAAAAGGCCAGACCTTCTGTTCCATGAGTTGGGTCATTTTCAACTTCAGAAACTAAAAAGTCTTTCTGTACAGATGCCTATGTGTACGTAATGAAGACTGGATGTTCTTCCCTGGCCAACATGAGAGCCATGGTAACCTCAACACAAACACCTGGAAGTGCTTCCTCTTCTTATCTCTGTCTCCCTCCTGTTTTTTCCACCTCCATTTTCCATTTTTCCCCCCCTCCTCATGCACTCCGGTTATCTAAACATGGAATTTCCCGTTCCGTCTGAGCACACAACTCCTGACTGAGTCGTCCCTCAACATTGAGTTCATCTCGACATTTCCAGCAGCTGTCCGCCTCCCCGTCCAGCAGCATGGATTTCAGCTTCCTCGTGTCATCTTCCCGCCAGCTGTCACTTTTCCTGCACCTCTGACAGGCCCACATGTGTCTGTGGTCTGAGGGACAGCTTTGTTATACTGCCACCTGCTGTGCTCACAGCGGTACTGCAGAAATAACAGCTCTGACACTGTTTTAAACCAAAGTTCGCTGGCTTTTGATTCTAAGAAACCGGACTTTCTTCTACAAGCTGGAAATGATATCATAAAATACGAAACATTTCTGATTTCTGTTTAAATCTCAATAAGAATGCATCTTTAAATGACAACTGAAAAATGTTTTGTTTTGAGGATTATCGGAAGAGAATGTTGTAGCAATGTCCATTTACTTAATTAACACTAATTAAGAAAGACATTTCTTTGGATTCATTACACATAGAGTAAATCAAGTGATTATAGCTGAAAAGCCAAAATAAAACTTCTCAGAATATTGGAATATTTTGTAAGACCAAAAAACAGGAGAGATATTCAGTCATGGTGTACAAGACTAAACATCCCTAAACGCAATGATTGGACACTGGTGAGTAGACATTTATACACAATAGGGCACACCACAAAAACCCGGCTGTTCAGAATGACCCAGCATTGTACACTCCTGACGACAGACAAGATTTTACTTTGACTCAAAATACTCAAAATCAAAAACTGTGTCTGAACTCCTTCTAAGAACCGAGTCTACGTAGGATGGGTCCGGCTACATAGACCCGCAGCCGGACTTGGTCACAAAGTGAGCGGCTGTCAATTCAGACAAATCCGGCCTCTGACAGATGCGGCCGCTGAATTCGGACGTACCATAGATGTGCGGCGGATGTTGTATGCGGACTTTGAGACAACAGCCAACCCAACGGTTTGAGGGTTGGCTGGACGTTTGCGAGATATGATGATGGACACATTCCAAGTGTCCCCGCTTCGGGCGCTTTGGTATGTAACAAGCACACTAATGGAAAGTTGAGGCGAAGAGAAGAAAACACAGGAGAACTGCTTTTCTCAATAGCATTGGAAACCAAAGCCCGATCGAGTGTTTAAGGGAGATTTAAAAATTATGGACTGCAGCTCCAGTCGGATCGTCAAGACTGACTCATTTAATACCACTCCAGAGCCAGAGACTGCGTAAAACAAAATTTCTTGGGCTAAGAAGAAAACAAAGAGTTGACTTTTACTCTCTTAACCCCTATTTTTAGACTTGAGTACATTTTGTTTGGCAGTCGAGGTCCCAGAAGAGGAAGAACGGAGAGACGTAGAATCCCAGATGCATGTGATCCAATTGGGAAATTTCTAGTCTTCAGTGATTTGGGGAGGCGTGCCATCTGCTGGTGTTGGCCTAATGAAACCAATGTACGCACATCAGACAATCATAACGTGTCAGTTGGCGCCATCTTCACCTTTCTGGAGGTCTGATGTTGTGTTTCAAGTTGAAGCAGGATGATCTCTGTTCATTTTCTATGGAACTTCAATGAGGCGACATGTTTATCGACTTCCAGCCAAGCGACTGGCGAAATTCATGCTTGTGAAAATTTGAGCTCGTTCATGAAGATGAGCACTCATAAGCAAGCGACGCAACTTAAGAAAATGGCAAAAAAAACAGCAAAAAACAGTTGCTGTGGTGTCCCTTGTGTTGGGTTCACCCCTCGCTTGTCGGGCCCAGTTTGACCTGCTGTCATGTTGTGTTCCAGGTGGAGACCGAGTTCCAGGAGCTCGTCGACGGCTCGCTCATCGACCTCTGCGGCGCCACCCTGCTGTGGCGCACCGCCGAGGGACTCTCCCGCACCCCCACCCTCAAACACCTTGAGGCACTGCGGCAGGAGATCAACGCGGCCCGCCCGCAGTGCCCCGTGGGATTCAACACGCTGGCTTTCCCCTCCATGCGCCGCAAAGACACGCCCGACGAGAAGCAGCCCTGGGTCTACCTGCAGTGCGGCCACGTGCACGGCTACCACAACTGGGGCAACCACCGCGAGGAGAGGGAGGGCCGGGAGGGCCGGCTGCGAGAATGCCCCATGTGCCGGGCGAAGGGCCCCTACGTGCCGCTGTGGCTGGGCTGTGAGGCGGGCTTCTACGTCGACGCCGCTCCGCCCACACACACCTTCAGCCCCTGCGGACACGTCTGCTCGGAGAAAACGGCGACCTTCTGGAGCCAGATCCCGCTCCCGCACGGCACCCACACCTTCCACGCCGCCTGTCCTTTCTGCGCCCAGCAGCTGAGCGGCGAGCAGGGCTACATCAGACTCATCTTCCAGGGGCCCCTCGACTAGCAGCGGGGGAAACTCCTCGGCACGCTTCGGAGGATCCGGACGGGACGAAAGTTCCCTGCTGATGTTTTTCTCTCTGGACCTTTTGCCTCTGTCTCCTTTTTAAGTGACCTTTGTATTGCTTTTTTTCATGAATGACAAACAGATTTCTATATTTTCATGAAACCAGAGACACAAAAAAACAAACAAAGAACACTGCTGGGTAAACTTTGTGTCACGGGGAGAACTTTCAACTGTATTTATCTGACGTACTGACACGGCGTTAGCGGTTTTTATTCATGTATTTGTTGCAATACACGTGTACATCTCTCAGAGCCTATTTAAAGAAATGTGTTTATTTATGACCCAGGATGTTGCTTCAACCTTTATCCCTCATCCATAAGTAATTTTCGTTGAAAATCCAGCGTATTTGTTCGTCAGACCTGATTTTTTGGGCGTGCTCCAAGAGTTTCGTTCCGTGTCTTTCCTCTCCCTCTCTGTCCACATTCACCCGTCGAAGCCGTTCCATGTATTTATACACCTTGTGTCCCGGTGTTCGCTCTCATCGGTTACCTTCACAGACGTTTCACTCTCAGAGCAATAGAAACCTCCTCGAGCATCAAACGGAGGCACGTTTCTCGACGCCTGCTCGCCCTCCGCCCTCCCTTTAACGAGCGACTTCGTCCCGATCAGCCGTCAGCCATAAAATGACAACGAGGAAAACAAAAAACGCAAATATGTAGCCGTGGACTCGCACTCTAAGCTGAACTGTTGTTTTGTTTCTCTTTTATTTTAATCATAGAGGAGCTCCCAGATAGAAAGTGGTGGCACTAATGTTTAACAGATTGTTCATGCTGCGTGGCTCATGTGACGTTAGTGAAGGTCAGTGTCAGATACAGACAAGTATAATAAGAAACCGCCAGGATGTCAAATTGCTTCCTGGTGCCTCCAGGAGTAACAGTGCCCTCTGCTGGTGGCTTTTGAAACACACAAACACACAGGGCCCTAATTTGGGCCTTTGTTTTGAAGCAAACTGAGACAATTTATAGTAATTTTTCTCCTACATTTGGTTCAGAGATGCACCAATCAGACTCATGTTGATCTGTCTGTATTTTTAGACAAAAAAAAGTCCCACATATTGTTTGATCGAGGCCAACAGAAAATGACCAGATTGCTCCTACATGCGCATTAAAGTTCAGTGTTTGGTGGACTGATTGTAAACTGACAAAGTGGGCCAAGTTCTTCTTTGTAGCCGTCACACTTACAGACTAAAACGGCTCCTTAATTTTAAAACACTTCTAAAAAAAAAAAAGAGAGAAAAAGTACATTTTTACCTCTTGAACTACTGACCGCCGATCGGAAGTGATCAGAGAAAGATCTTCCAATTCCGATCTCTGGCTAATTGATCGGCGCGTTTCCACTCTGACTGAACGATCACGGCACAGAGGGTTTGACTTCCTGGGCCGCAAGAAGAGATGCGCATTGATTTCCCCCCCCCCCAGGTCTTTGTGACAATTTGTGCTTTTCAGATATCGTGTGATTTTCTGAGACACAGATTATCAGGGCTGCCTGTTCTTTTCTTTTTACTAAACCGGTTCTCATAAATGCTTAATGAGAACAACAATGCATTTTTACTTTTTTTTTTCTAGATCAAGACTGTGTGAGATACTCCACATATAATATGATTTAGTAAAAACATAAAACAGTATGGAATTTTCCCAAAATTTTTACAAAAGCAAACATTCATTCTGCTGATAAAATATTGATGTGTACATCAATGTACAGTATTATATTACGTATTTATTTATTTAGAATGAAGAATAAACACAAGTAAATACAGTAGCCATTTTTTATGTTTGCTGCATAGACAGTTAAGACTGTATTATTCTTTATATAGTAACACACAAATAGCAAGATTGATATTAGTTTGGTAAGTCAAACTGGTTGCTTTTGGACACTAGCCTGAAGTCTGCTGCTTTAGAGACATGCTGTTTTCTGTTTGCCACTTCTACTTTTAAAATGTCCTTAATTTGGGTGGCACTTTTTTAGACGAGCCCTCCGGTGGTTTCAACGCGAGGCTCAGGAGAAACGGAGCAAATGTGACGGTCAGACAGCAGGGAGGCAGGGGGTTGTCCCGTCAGACCGTCAGTTCCCGAAACCACACACTAGCGAAAGCCGGTCGGGGTCAGCCGGACCGCGCACAGAGTAAAAAACTTGTGGCGTCCAAATGACCCCCCATCTCTTAAGACCGTGGGAGGATTTTAAGACCTGGGCTATTTTTTGTGCAAACGTTAGCATAGCCCAACATCTGACTTTCTTTCTTGTAAGCAAGGAAGAAATGTGATAGCTTTCCTCCAGCCAGCAGACTGACACTTTCTCAAGCAAATCATTAATAGACGTTACGTTATCGGAAAGCGTTGATAGATTTTTGGACCCTGACTTGCCGTACCGTAATAAAATTCCTGCTGCACACCAGAAGCTTTCAAGTTGAACTATGCATCCGCCCTCTTCCCTGAGAATAGATTTAACTAAGGCAGTCCTGATGTCACTTTTTCTTTTTTAAATAAATAAAAAGCACAGATCCTCCCAAACTCCTACTGCCTCGCACGCGTCGGCGCGACCCGCATTAGCGAGACACTGAAGCTGTAGACAAAAACCGAAGCGTCTCTTCCAACCCGCGCGCCCTCAGGTCCTCGCGGAGCCCGAAGCCTCGCCGGTAAACCGGTCGTTCTGTGTTTGTATGCAAGAAAGAGAGAGATTGTAATTTAACGGGTTGATTGTATGTGTTCAGTTTCTGCTCCACGCCGTAGCTCTCCTCGTATCCTCAGACCGCGGCACACTAACTCACCTCAGGGAGAAACCGATGACCCCGTGCACGCGCCTGCACACCCTATGCTACAGCCATCTGAGGATACGTCACCTTACAAGAAAAAAAAAAAAAACAAGAAGTGAAAAGACAAAGCTTCTGTCCTCTCCTTCACTCGGTCTTGTTTCATGGTCTCTGTGTGAACAAAGGGCTTCCCTGTGTCTCTATTTTGACTCAAGCAAAGGTTCATCCCTCCATCCTTTACTCACCTCTTCTCATGTCTTTGTGCTTGTAAAAGGCAAAAATCAAAGAATGTTTCCAGCAAACACTTTTTTGTATCAACTTTAAACAATAAAGTGTAAAAGTGACACTTAGCTGTGCTGCGTTTCACTTGGATGCTGCCCACCGATTAGGATTAGTTCTACTTCCGTGTTGGATTACGTTCCACCACTCTGTGATATTTCTCAGTTTTTTTTTTTTATATGAATTGAGCTGATGATTGAACCATGAGGAGGGAGACTGAACAAAAATAGCACCCATGGAATATTCATGACCAAAATCACAACAAAGGTCAAAAATTCTCTATAGAGACGAGAAAAAGTGAAACTTTACAAAATCACATCTAGTAAAACTAACAGAATTTCAGATCAAATTAATAAAGTTTATCATGCAAATATGATGGTGGCTAGTGACGCTTTCCAGCTGTGTCTAGACTTTGCTTCGTGACCTAAAGCTTTGCGGACTCGAGTTATTCTAGCAGCGCACTGGCAACCCAAACAAAAACAAAACAGGGTTTTTTGAAGTGGCCTACTCAAATTCTAGCACTTATCTTTAAACGCTCTGCTCAATGGAGTGTGGCCCCCGAAATCTCTCCTTTGCAACACGGCCTATTATCACAAGCATGTCAGGGCAGGTCGGCTTGGATATGTTTTGTATTTGGTCAAGTTATGATTGATCAACGTTCATTTGACGATCTGAGAAGCTTCAAGACGTTTCAGTAAACAAAAAAACAAAAACAAAAAAATTTAGGATTTCTGAAGTTTTCACCAAGTCAAATTTAAGACTTTGTAAGAACGTTACGAACGGGATTTAGGACTTGCATAACAAAGAGAAGTGAGCCACTGGCTAAGACGAACGCCGTCGAACACCATCCTACCAAATGGCAAAAAAAATCTGCACTTAACTTATGAACAAAAAGCGATCTAGTTTTACCCGTCTTAACAGTAAAGCGCCACAAGAAAAATTAAAACTACATAGATCATATGAGATTAGAATCCCAGCACAACGAAATAAGATTAACGTAACTGAGGCCAACTTGTTCTTTAATGGATATGAGACATTAATGAATATGAATGTGAATTTAAGACTTTTTAAGGCTGTGTGAACACCCCGCGTTTTTACTTCTGGAATTGAACTCAAAGCTGTTTCTGAACATTGATTTCGAGCTGAAATTCTCAATATCCCCACTTTGCTCTGAACTGCAAACCCTGTCAAGGAAAAAAAACAAAAACAAAAAAACACCCAACAGAGGATTCCAGATGAACAGACCACAGGTTCGGTTCTTCATATTGCACTTTATTCAGCTCTGAGGAGGCGGAACTGGACCGGGACCGTTGTTGCTGTCACAGATCAACACTTATTTCTCCTTGTATGCATCAGCCAAACTCGTCTCAAGTATTAACACTCAAAAAAAAAAAAATATGAAAACAACTTGGTGTACATGGTTTGAAAATGAATGAAAACTATTTTGTGTGTAAACCAAACAGGAAATATTGCACATACAGAAACAGCACTGGATGAGTTGGATGGACGAAGAGGCTTCGGACGACACAACGCGCTGCAATCAAACACAAAGAATGCCTTTTGTTTTATCTCAAAGGGTCAAAGTGATGGCTTTCCATTGGAATCCACACATTTTCTACATAAAGCTACAACGTGCCTGAACGTTGGTCCTGCCAGGTTTTCTGCCACAAGAACAATGAAAACATGGCGCAAGGTTCGATTCGAGACGCTTCTGTCGGAAACTGAACGTCTGCAGTGGAGGTACAGGAAGATCGCTCACAGTTTTCATGGTTTTTAAGAGACAATCGACTTCTCCGCCAGCACAACTTTATCACCTCAGGGTGATAAAGGTGATTACTTAGTGGCTCCACGCTCTCAAAAATGTACCATTGTTAGATTGAGCGCTGCTATGATTATAGATTATATATTTCAGTGAAGTTGAATGAGAACTCGGGTGGAAACGGTGAAAAATCACGACTTGCTCTCCAGCTCGGCTCCACATTCATTTAGCTGCTTTTGACACTGTGTGTGAAACTTTGGATCGTTCCTGCAACGGGTCAGGTAAATATTGCTCAGTTCCTTCAAAGCCTCTGGTCCGCAAATTTCGATCCGATTTCAAAACGGTGGATTTTTTTGATTCAAATGCATCATTCCGGTCTCACGTGAAACAGTAATAATTCACTCATTTTCAAAATTTTTACTAATCTCAATCTGGGCTTGAGTTGTTTTTCAGCACGTGAAAAACACAAAGTGCAGTCATCCCATGTAAAACATGTGAACTCTGAGCTGTGACTGAACTTGAATTGTGGAAGTTTTGGCATGTTGCGTTCAAGTGCGTGTCGTCAAATCCCGCAAAACGAGTTTCATCGAGCCGTGGAGAGCCATGTGATTCTTGTGATCCACTTTTAAAACGTCTCCCGCGATTAAGCTGTCCTGACCTCTGCATTAGTTCTGCATCGCCACTGCTCAGAGCTTAATATTTCATATTTTAATGCTATCATTCAATCTAGTAGCTACAGATAAAAAAAAAAATGCAACCTAGTTGCTTTAGTTAGGTATTTTTGTTAATCTATCAATCGAGTGTATTAAAGTCGTAATTTAGTAACACTTCCTAATGGTTATATACTAATCAGCCAGCAGAGGGCAGCAGGTTCCAGTTTCACCCTCCAGAGCAGAGGAATCTTTGTGAGTGGGTCTCATGAGGAGGACAGGTCACATGATCAGGGCTGCACAGTGAAGGAGGCGGCGCCGCGGCTGGGAAAAGGCCTCAGTGGTCCAGGATACGCAGGTTGCCGGACACTATTTTGTTCTCCAGCATGGAGCCGGCCGGAATATCGATCCGATCACCGTGGTTGGCGATGATGATGACGGTGCCCTGGGAAGACGAGGAAGAGAGCGATGAGTTCCAGCCTCCTTCAGGAGGAGGAGATATTTGCAAAACCAGCGGCCGGTTCTGCCGGTTGCTGGAAGCAGAACCGGCAGAACCGGTTGCTGTTCGAGTGAAATCCCCCACCCCCGCAGTTCGACACTCATCATCATGCTATTTATTCTGTGCCTCTCTGGCTGTGTTTGTCTTCTCAGACAAGTGATGAAAGTATTTTTAGGAAACATCTACATGAGTGGATGAGGAGGCTTGAATATTTTCAAACTCTTTTAACATTTGCAGACTTTTTGACACAAACTTCGTTATTTAGGATTTTATGTGACTCATCAAAATAAAGTAGGAAATCTTTCACGGATTCAAATCTGAAAAGTACGTAGGGCATTTGGTATTTCCCTGCTTTTCGGCTGCACCGGAAAATCGCCCGTCTGATAAATCTGCACTGACTTCCTCGATCTTGGAAGACGGCTGGTCATCTGCAAAGAACTGACTGACGGACCTGCCGACCAGTCAAAGCTAACAATAATCACACAACTGTTGGCAACATGGCAACTTTCTTGATACATTTGGCAACTTTTACCAGAGATCGGCCAAAAATGGAATTGGTAGGTCGGGCTTTTTAAAAATCGGTGACCAGCTTAAAAGTGCATGCAATTCTGCTATATACACCTAAAATAAAATCCAAAAATTCGAGTCTTCGTGTTCGAGGCCGTGGACTGGCGTGTGGAAACGTATTTGACCCTTGAAGGATTTTACCTTCAGCGACACGTTTTTCCCAAATGTGACGTCTCCGGAGACGGTCAGGTGGTCCAGCTCCAGCATGTCGGGGATGCTCTCAAAGCGGGTCAGGTACTCCTGAACCTGAACACGACGACAGGTTTCACTCAACTCAGCAGGTCACATCACTTCTCAATCTGCAAGTATCTTATTTATGCTGTAAGACTGATTTACCAATAGAGGTTCTGATGAAGCAGCTAAAAACCGCAGTATCAAATATCAAACAGTGAACTGTGGGAACACGTCAACATCAGGTCCCACCTTGGTGAAGGAGCTGCCCAGCTTGACGTGCGGAGTGGTGGGGAACTCTCTCTTGGGGCTCATGGTGAGGGAGCCGGCCTCCAGGCTGTACAGGTTGGACATGACCAGCAGCAGGTCCGACGTGGTTTTGACAGGAAGGAAGCGGCTGCGGGGGACGTTTATCCCCATGGCGTTGTCGAAGCATTTGATCGCCGCGCCGACCGCCGTCTCCAGCTGGACGACGTTCAGCCCTCCGTCCAGTGTCTGAGGGTGACGGGGAGAGGGATCAATGGAGCGACTTTGAATTAAATTTCAACGGAGCACAAATGCACCTTCCAGGTTTTCTACTATCAGTTGGTCTGTTGCAATAGCTGCACACCTGAACCAACACACACACACACACACACACACACGCTTGTTGGCAGAGGAGGCGTAAGTAGACGCGTGTCCATGTCAAAGTCCAGCCTATTGTTCAGGGCGCGGTTTCCAAAGAAGGTAAATATGTAATGTTCTCTACAGCGTGACAACGTTAGTGAGCCAATGATTGAAGACAAATATTGTCCAGGGAACTGGGGTTAAATTTGCACCAAACCATGAAGGACCTAAAAAAGCTAGCTGGCTGCTAGTTAGCGATAGCTGCAACCGTGCGGAGTCACAGAACGCGGTGAAGACACCTGATCGCCACTCAACGTTCCACGAGAAAAAAAGAAAACTACACAGAATACATGACATTTAATAGTTCAGCAAGGGTAACGAATTGAAAAACAATCCTTGTTTTTCAAGAAATTTAAGAAACTTTAAGGCCTTCATCGAAGACGTATGAATGTAAGACGTTTTAAGGGTGCATGGACACCCTGCCTGCTGTAAATGCATTGAGAAATTGCTTCCTGAGACCGCAGTCGGAAACATGAGTCAATATTTCTGCACGACGCATCCAGACCTGATGAAAGCGCCGAGCTGCTGACGAGGTCGGAGTTTAAAAAGTGAAGCTGCTTCCGGCCTCAGAGGGGATCATAATGAGCTAAAATGACCCTGTGAAAGGCTTCTGTGATGTAACGCAGACAAATGTAACGCCATCTGTGAGAGGCCTCTTATGCAACAGCCACAATCTCAGGTCCTCGTGCATCAAACCTGCGCCTTGTCTTACCGAGCATGAGGGCGGCACAAGAACCGAGTTCTCTGGCTCTGGGGGAGCCAGAAAAGCTCCTGCTCTCTTATTGCCTCTTACATAACACACTTTATCACACTTTATCACGACGAGTAATGAGGATTACATCCGTATGTTTTGCTTGGGCGGAGGCAGCAGTGATCAACAGCGGAGCGGCGGCAATAAATGTGAATTTATTACTTTCATATCCTGAAGTGGTTGCCTGCTCAGTGAAGGACAGGTGAGGGAGCCGAGGTCTGATCTGGCTCCAAGGCAGCAACCAAACTAAAACGCGGTTTGAAGCTGGAGCTTCTGTTCGCGCACTTTAAACTCACAGCAGAAACAAGAAGGGAAAACGAAGGAAAAATAGGGATTTTCTGTTAGAATCTAGTACATTCTTGATTTAGGAGTAGTTTTACTGCACTGAACATTTTTCTTCTACTTGAGGAACAATAGTATGAAACATCACTACTTAAGTACAATTTCCGACCCCCTCTGCCTTCCTCACCATCTTCTTTACGAGAAAGAAAACAAAAATTACTTGTGTTGTCATTTTGCTTTAAACATTTTTGAAAATTGTTCTGACTACATACATGTGCAAGCGTAGCGACCTATGAAGACCCACGAACACTTTCCTTTACTTAAACACATACGTGCGCAAAAGAAGAACAGTTTTAAATATGAGCCGAGTAAAATATGGAGGTACAAAAATTTTAAACGTAAGCACCCTTTTGTTCTTTAATTTAATTTTTGTGGAAAAAAAATCAACAAATTAATTTAATTTATTAAAAGGACTCAATAAGATAAAAAAAGAAAAGCTCAACGAGATTTCGATCTTTATTTCCACCAGGTTTTATTTTACAGCACCACTGTTTCTAGGTGACAAGACGTATACCAAGATAAGGGTGGGAATAAATCTGCCCAAAATTATCTTTAGATACATTAATAAATAAAAAAACAAGGAATCCTTCTGTTGAATGCTTCCTTTAGTACTGCTAGATGAGTAGTTGTGTTTGGGAAAAAAATATTAACTGAGAATTTCTGGCCTAAATTTAAAAAAAAAAGCACTCACAGTAAAGCTTACATTTACTTTTGTGAGGTGCAAACCTTCACGTTTTGAGGATGGATGAAGTCAAACCAAACTAAGGACATTTCCCAGGAAAGAGCCTTCCTACTGAACTGTTTATTTTCCAAACCTGGGCTATCTTTGAACAGGCTGTGAAATATCACACCGATGTCATATCACATATCTTCAATTTACCTTAAGCAACAAAATGAGGACGAACAGAAACTGATGAGGTTTCTTGCCGAGCAACAGCACAAAAGCTAATGTCTTTACATCAACATGTCTCTTTATCTGAAGTCGATATTTGGAAAGTTCTCCATCATTTTCGCTTTCCTATGTTCACAAAAAGAAAACCATGCAGAGCAGAGATATGTAGCGTGTGTGACGGGCTGTTTCCTCTCCGCCTCGCTCACCTTCGGGTTGACAATGATCTCCATGTCCATCGCGTTCTGCTCCTGCAGCCTCTTGATGGCAGTCAAAGAGATCCAGAGGTTGTTGGTGTTGAAGATCTTGAACTTCGAAACCGACTTGAATTCGTCCACATGGGCTTTGGGCACCTGGGCGATCTCCAAGAGACGGAGCTTTCCTTCATATTGGATCAGGGTGCCTCCCTGAGGACAAACAATACAAATCAATACTTTTACTTCATTGATTACATCTGTTGTCTTTAAAATGATTATTAGTAATAAAAATAAAAAAGAACGAGGCAAAATTATGAGATTAGGGCTGTAACTATTGATTATCCAGCCCTAAGATCAGTCTGTATGCTAAAGTTAACGATTAATTGTTTCAATAAATTATTTGATAATCATCTCAGCGATCGATTGAAGGCATTTGCTGAATCAGTCCTCGTCCTACCTTGACGTCAGCGCGCGTCTTATCCGTGACCTCCATGACGAACTCGCAGCGCTTGCCGTTGGGCTGGCTGACCAGGTGGTGCAGGATGTGCAGGTCGACGGTGGCTCCCAGGTTGTCGATGTTGGACACAAAGATGTACTCCTTTCCCTGCGCGATGAGCTTGTCCAGCAGGCCGGAGTTGTAGAAGCTGGCGTAGATGTCGCCGTGGCCGGGAGGATACCAGCCGTCTGCGTTTTGGCCCGTCATGCTCAGGTTTGCAGCCACGGGGAGGAGAGACTCTTTGTGTATGCGGGGGTACCTGGACAGGCAAGCACAGGGGATGATATGATCACTAAAGGGATCCTGATTGTAGCATTTTTTTCCAAGTAGTCACTAAAGGGATGCTAATCTGAATCTATTAATTCGATTACTTATGATTAATCGATTATTGAAATAATCTGCAAACTAATTAGTGATTGATTAATCGTTAACTGATTCAACGAACTCAAAACTCGCTGGAAAAACCCCAATGTACTTAGGAAAGTAGTTAAGTCAAAACTGTACAAAAAAAAAAACTATACATTTTTTTAATTCAAGACATTAAAACTGTAAATATGTTTTAATCGTCACAAGTCTTTTTCAAGTTTTTATGAAGAAGACAGGTGAGGAGGAAAACCATCATCCATGTGAGAATTAGTCACATCAAAGCGTTTTTATGAAGGATCAGCGATCCTGGTGAGGAGCTGGACAAAATGTGAACTGGCAGAACCTCTGGGAGCTCTAGGAAATACAGACCCAGATGAGCTACTTGGGAGAAAAGACTCACGACGTAGTGGGCTTGTTAAAGTGGGATTAATTCAAGTTCTCATTCTGATGATTGTTTCGATATGAGCTCAGACACTTAAGCCTCCTGCTTCCCCTGGAGGCAGAGCAGTTGTCCAAGAAGAAACCGAGACCTCTTTGAGGGCAAAGAAATTAAAAACATGGCCATAAGTCATTTTAACTTACTTTTCACTTGCAACAAATTCACAGGCCTTTAATTGTTAAGACAACTACTCTTCTCACGGAGCCACAAGCCCCACAAGTAAAGTTATCAACAAAAAAAAAAATTGGTCACACACAGACAGACAGAAAGTCTAAGACTTGATCAGATTACCGCAGCCTGATAAAGCCTCTTAGGCTAAAGAGCAAAGTCAGGTGGTTTATATCTTTTTTCTTTTTGAGTGATATATTTATTAATTTTTGTTTCTTAACATTGGAACACAGAACAAAAGCTCAGCAGTGGACTCTAAAGCGGGAGAAAGAGACAAAGGGAGAATATACATAAGGCAACTTATATCTTGATCCATGAGCGGCCGGCCAGAAACTCAAAAAAATCCAGCATTTACACAATCAGTGAAATTACCATGTAAGCATCACTCAGGAAGGAAGTCATCAATGAGTGAAGACAACTTAAAATTAGCCATTTTGAGCAGCGGTGTATTTTTTTTTAAATGGAGTCAGAGGAAGGAGCTATTGAAGAGGAAAGCTTTGTCTTATGCATGTCTAATCATTCCTGTGGGAGAGCGAGCGAGAGCAAAATGTACAGTAAGTTAAAGTAAGGCTCGATGGGGTTTTAGTTTTTGGAAGATGCTGAGACAGTTTAAGATGTGAACGAGTTTATTATTTTGACTTTATTTATTGTCATCCAACCATCGTTTTGCGACTGCGGTGTAAAATCAGTTGTTTTTTCCAGTTTTTTTCCCCAGAGAATAGGTTTAAAAAGTAAGACATAGCCAGACCTTTAAGTCCATGTTTGAGCTTTCCTTAAGTCAAAACATAATGAAGGTGGGTGAATAACTCATGGCTTTGTTTGGTGTTTAAAGCTGATTGTTTTCTCTCCCGTGTACCGGTGAACAATGACTGTAATTGGATTTCTAGGAATTACTGTAATGGCCTCAGCATTTCTTTGTTCTCACATTGAAAATTGCTTTGAAAACTGCTCAGTTTCTTTGACATCAAATCCTCCAGCTAGTGTTGCTGCTGCCCCAGAAAAAGCGTTGACCCGCCCTCCCTGAGGCATGCAGAGCTGATGAATAATTGAATCGCAACTGGAAAATGAAAGTTCCACTTGGGTGGAGACATCACGGCATTCATTACAAACAGGCTTTTCCACATGTTGCAAAACATCTAGTCTATTCCTGATGGTACGCAATCATAAACACATGTAACAGGTAATGCGCACCGGAGTTCTCAACACACTAAATGATGCCGCTTTCTGCTACTTTTACTAAGATGCCATTTAAAATGCAGAAGAAAACCAGTGGTCTCACCTGCTCTGATTGAAGGTGTGGATCTTGACCCGGTGGTGTGTGTATTTCTGCAGGATTTTCTTGGTATCTTCATCTGTGTTGAAGGAGTTCATGAGGACCAGGGGAACATCAGTGTTGTACGTCTTGTTCAGGTGCTATTGGTGGTTAAAAACAAAACAAACAAAACAATCACTATTGTTACAGGAAGGAAAGTTTCACATAATCATCAATTAGAAATCCTAATCGCAGACTGACAAAAACAATATTACAATAAAACAATATCTAGGAATTTCTCTGTTGTGTGACAATAAAGGGTATTTCTATTCTATTCTATTATTAGATCCATTTCACTTATCACTGAATAACAGAAGTTTCTACACTCATCCTGTCCCAGAATCCTGTCCTCAGATTTTAGCTCAATGTTTAACAAGACTCAGAGATTAATAGAGAAACTTCTTCTTGGCCTGAATTCTGCTTTCTGAACGTCCTGAGTGGGACTGCAGTTAGTCCACATTGGAAAAACATCACAGGCGCCATCACACTTAGTAGTGGGACTCCTCCAGGCTGTACGCTTGGTCCACAGATGTTTGCAGCGTGGATTCATTCATGGGCTTTATAACCAGATGTACATTAAGAAAGTCAAACACATGGAGACCTAAAACAGATTAGAATCTGGTGTTCAAGGTGGAAACAATGAAGATATTTCTTAGTGTCTTTGTTGCAGAGAGAGAGTTTCATCCATTTGTGCTTTCTGTTATCAGTATATCCGATGATTTTTCTAACTATTATAGATCTCTGAGAAATCCTGTTTGGTTTTGTAATATGATGTTAAATATGTAAAAAAAATAAATAAATCAAAATTGAAATTAAACTGACAATGAATTCAAGCTGATGCATGGATGCATCAGTTTGAAATAACAATACAGAGGAAGACAAGAGGAAGTGCTTCCCACTAACCCCCCAAAGCTCCCGCTGGTGTAGTAAACATGTTGGACGTCTGTGAAGATGAATTCATAAAGGCAGATCTCGTTGTTTGAAACACTTGGTGATGTGCCGTTTTGAGAAAAGCAACTGACAGGTTTTGAGAGGCAAATTGATCATGTGCAGAGATTGAGAATTTCAGCTGCTTCCATTCACCATTTACAATGGACAAAACAAATATGAAAAGCCTTTTAGTAAAAAGGTTTCCCGTAAAGGAGATAAGACTCATAAGAAATGAATAGTGCCAAGCTAACTATCGGTATTAATTACGTAACAGTAGTTATAGTTTATATTTTCTCAAGGTCTATAATAAGATAAAAACCTTTACTCTATCCACCATAAATATGGTTTAGGTCAATAATATATATCACTTGGCAAATAAATAAATCATTTTCTGCACTTCAACTGAGCTATCATTGATTAATTGGGAAGTAATTCTCATATTCTGTATGTTTTTGTTAATAAACATGGTCAGTTTTTTTTTTTTTTTTTTTTTTTTTTCCTATCTGATTGCATTTTTCAAGACTTTTACAACATAGTACGTGTAGATTCAAACTTTTAGGCTTTTGCGTCGAAAAACAACCTAAATTGTAATTGATTATTGACACAGTTACCATGTATTCCCTGGGAGAGGTCTAATTTTTTTAAAAGAGGCGCAAAACAGGTGATTGCAAGACTCTACAGTCCGTAATAAACTCCAGTCCTATCAGATCAATTCTTCTTAAGAAGTCCTATTAGCCTCACTGCTAACAAAACAACAAGTTTGCAGTCAGAGCTGGTTTTAGCTCTGAAATTATTCTCAAAATAACATACAATGTTGTTCACCGATGTGTCTGATCAAGAGGATTTCTTTTTTACTTTCCTGGCTATTAAGTGAAATGTTCTAACACAGGAGAAGTTGTTTCCCAGCTGCTGTGTGTGTGTGTGTGTGTGTGTGTGTGTGTGTGTGTGTGTGTGTGTGTGTGTGTGTGTGTGTGTGTGTGTGTGTGTGTGTGTGTGTGTGTGTGTGTGTGTGTGTGTGTGTGTGTGTGTGAGATCGTTTCCTCTTCTCTGAACAGGACGATTCAGTTTGCAGGGAATCTGACCCGACCTGGGCAGAAAAATGGAGGCAGTGTGCTCAGAGAGAGCTGATCCCCAGGAATCTCTTGTAAAACATACATAAACACCAACCACCTTCAAGAAGTGCTGCTCTGTGTTTTATTTAGCAAAGTTGGGTGGTTGGTAACTAGTTACTTTTTCTCAGTTATATTTACTTGAGTAACTTCTTGGGGGGGAAAAACAAGTTGTAAGAGTATTTCTTAAAGTGCTGAACCTTTTACTTTTACTTGTTTAACTTCATTATTAAGTGTCGCTACTCTTACTTGAATAAAATGTCTGGTACTTTGCCCTTTGTGAGTAACTTCACTGAAAGAAGAATAAGCTTGTTTTAACCAAAAGTTCACCAAACACGCATCTGTAATTTCTGTTAAAGCTTCACAAGTTTTGTATAGAAACACATTGATTCAGAAAACATTTCCTCAACCTGATTTTATTTGTAATTTTCTATTTATATGAATTACTTTCACTTTTTTCAGATATTCCTGCTTTAATAATCGCCTTAGAGCTAACACCCTTTATTTTGTCAGACTGTTAGCTTCAGTAGTTTTGATAGATTCAGTAAAATACATCTGAATTTGTTGTCTGCACAATACTGAGTCATTCCTTTGAGTTTAGTAGCCTTTTTATAGCTGAAATGGGGTTAAAAATAACTCTTCCACAATGAGCAGGCACTGGTCAAAAGAATGAAAAACAATGTTGAGAAAAACTTTAGATCTATTTCCGTACATGTATGCTAACCCGAACTCTGCCTCCTGGATTCTTAAGATCTCTTGCAGAGTTTTGATTTTTGTGCTTCTTGATTCTGCAGACCCCAAGAAGGTCATGCAGCCTCTGTACTTTTCTGACATCAGTGCATTCTCATTCTGACCTAAAAATGTCAAACTTAAGACACGCACAATGTCACACAACACTGCATTTATACGTATATGTATATCCAGCAAATAAGGACGACGCCACCTGCTGCAGCAGGAGAATTATCTAATGTTCTCATTGGTTTAAACCAAAACAAATTATGTGAATAGCCAATAAATAAATCCTGGTATGTTAATCAGCTGTGAGTTTCCCTCACACCCTCTTATTTACTCTGTAAACAGGCTGAATATAAACACAAAGTTTACCTTTTTAAAGCCTCTGAAACCTCCATCCAAATCATGGGACGGTTTCTTCATGACTTCAACTAGTAATTCTTCTGTGTTGAAATATGTGTGGGGGGGGGTTTCTGGGGTTTTTTTTCTCCATTTCTGCTCTCACACCTTGTCAGACGTTATTTCTACTGAAGTAATTAGCTTTTACCCTGGTGTCGGAAGTTAACACAGAGAGGAGTACAGAATTGTCCCAAAAAAATTGCCCTAGTTTGTAGAAAAAGAAACTGTTCAAGTGGAAATGCATTTGAACATTATGGGGGGGGATTTGAGAAACTCTGAAAACTACAGATTAAGGTCTCTTTCAAAGATCACGAGGAGATTTCAAAGGAAAACCAAAACTGAATGACGATTTAGACTTGTGCAGACCACTGAAGCAGAGCAAAGAGTGTCTTGTATTATCTAACATACCACAAACATCTGCTCCAGGTTTTGTTCTGGCAGATTTTTCATACAAAGAAAACTTTGTAATGAATCAATTTTATTCAAAGTGAGTGGAAAAAATGTCCAAAATTGAAACCACATGTATTTGTTGATGACATCGATTTGTTTTTATAAAGTCATAAGCGACTTTATAAAGGAAGAGAGATGGTTTGTGAAAAGAGTCCAGTACGGTGTGTGTGAGGAGTTGCTGTGAAAGGGGATCTGTTGGTGTGTCGTCTGGCAGGGAAACAGAGACGGCTGTGTGTCTGGTCAGAGAAGAGAGCGCAGTTATTTAGGCCCCATCATGCACCTCAACCTCTGTAGCAGCGCTACGCCCAATGCCTGAATGAATGTTCTTTGGAAGTCATACAAACAACAATCGCATCGTCCTGCTGCTTTCCGTGGGACCCCGAGCTCCGGCTTCACTTTCATCCGCGCTGGATGAAAGTGAAGTATTGAGATCAGACGGCTTAAAATCGGAGGTGGAAGAGTAGCACTGCTTTAGCATATTTTGACCGTAGTAGAAATAGAAAGTAGCAGTCCAAGAAATTACTCAAGTGAAAAGTATTTGATTAAAAAAAAAGCTACTCAAGTACTGAGTGACTGATCAAAACATCCGTCACTTATTATGTAAAAGCCACAGCAGGGACGAAACTTACTATCTATTGATGGATCTACTGGTATGAAACCCAACAACAAAGATGATGCAACAACAAAAGAAATTGCGTCACACCACTTATTCATCATTTCTCAGAAAAAGGGAGTATCCATATCCAGTTGGTTTGGTTTTTTTTTGTACTTCGAAGGACACTGGTGCTGTGACCTCAGATGTTTGCAAGAAGGCAGAAGAGTGTTAGGAGAGAAGCTGAAAAGAACTCATTTCAATATCTGCATCAGAAAAACATTTCAGCAACAAGGCATTTACTTTGAAATGCCTTGTTGCTGAAATGTGCTATACAAATAAAATTTGATTGATTGATTGATAGAAGTTTTTCGCTGCTGAACTCACCAGTTCAGCAGCGTTTATTTTAAATAAGCATGATTAAAGAGTGGAAGTCTGACAGCTGGTTGCCACATGAAGAAATGCTACATTTACCCTTTTTTTCATCACAAAATGAGCTTGAAACACAAAACCAGGGTGTCTCACAGCTAGAAGTCACAGATTTACAGCTAATGTGTATTTATCTACGGTAATTTTAATCTGGTCCTTTTTAGAAGGCACTTGGCACTCATATAAACTAACAGATGAGCCCGATCTGATACATCTCCAACAACAACCACAAGATCACATTGTTGCCCACATCTAACTTTTGAAGACACATCTAAGATCTGCAAAGTAAAAAATGCTGCCATTTACAATTTACTCCAACTGCAGAAACAACTTAAATTTAAAGTTTTCACTTCATGATGACAACCTAACAAAAGAAAAAGAAAATATCCAGGAAGCAGAATTAAGAGGGAAATCTTTGTTTGTGGTGTGGTTGCTCGGAGTTTGCACCTCAATTTGTTGCACGGTCAGGTCCAGGAAGGTGTTCTCGTTGCGGACGCTGATCAGGCTCTTGGGGCCCTTGCATCCCATGCTGGTACCCAGACCTCCGTTCAGCTTCACCACCACCAGCTTGTTGAGGCTGGCGGCCACGCCGTCCGGCAGACCCCGCGCTGCGATCTTATCGTACGGCTGGATCTGTAGGACGGGGGACGGGTAAAAATTTAGACTTTGGAAACACCGGGACAGTTTTTCTCCTAACTCTTTGAGCTCAACAAAATGAAGGAGAAACGATTCCCAACAATGTTATGGCATGTATGACTTCAATCAACCAACCAAACTGGTTTCTATTGACATTTCTGAAATTCAGTGATAAGCAGAAGCTTTCCATTGTCACTAATATTCTATTAATCTCTTTCTTTATCCATTTAAAACAACTCTCCCCCCCAAAAACAACTATCACGCAAATAAAAAAACAAACTCCAAATATAACAAGGTATTGCAGGACATTTCTAGCAGGGAAGCTTGACACACAGCAGACCTTTTTGTCCTATCAGGCGTAGAAAGTACTTTGCAATTATCCAATTAACCTCTGAGCAGCTGCTAGCATATCTGCATCTGTGCTAATGGCGTATTGTGTTTGCACATCTGCAGCCGCTGTACGCCCAAACTGAACACATGATTAAGAATTTTGGGTCTGTTGCAAAACAACTCTGAAATTTTGAGAAAAACTAAATCTGAAATCTTTCAGATAAAAAGCTTTTGTCTTTGGAAATGTTCTGACTTTTGCAGCTCAGACATTTCCATGTTTGTTCTAGAAAAATCTTTGTGATTGATCTCAATATTTTCTCAGTTTTTTTCTGGCAAATTTTCAACTTTTGACATTTCAAAGATTTTTTCCTAGAGCATTTCTGTGATCAATCTGAAAATTTCTGAGCATTTTTCTTAATAATTATCGACATATCAGACATTTTACTGTTTTTCAAGAAATGTGCTGATTGAGATAAAAATTGTATTTTGGTGGAAATTTACTCCTTTTTTTCTTCTTTGTACAATTTGTCATGTAAGTCAGATAAAGTTGAACAAATACAAAAGCAAATAAGGACAAATGTCAGCAAGATGAAACTTTGCTGAAGTGTGCGGAAAAGCATCTTTTTTCAGGGTGATAACCATTTCCTCACAGGAAGAGAGACGATCTTTCATCCAATGAATTTCCTTTTGTGCAGGAGGTGAACGTCAGTCATCGGCTCTATCAAAGGAGAGCGCATTTTTCCTTAAACATCTGCTCATGTGGTTCACACTGACAATTTGAGTATGTGAAATCACAAGCCTGACTCACTCCCAGGCAACAGGGGATAAACCTTGCAACCAAACTGTAAAACCTCCTCTTGCGTTTAATAATACAGAAGATTATTAAAAGCCTTGTATTGCAGACAGTCGCTTTTTTCAGCTTGCTGATTTCTGCTTTCTGTTTCACTCGGCTGCTTTCCAGCCCTGCTGCTAATTTCTCAGGAATTCTGACGCGGCGTGCAGCGCTCCGACTTCAAATATGTCCTGTGTGGGGAGGTTTGGAAGTTTGGAACCATGTTATTTGAGATTCCCGGAAAAAGATAATTTTATAGTTCAAGAGCTAAATGTTTGGAGGAAGGTGGAAATGTAGCCACAACATGCGAGATAGATGGGAGCTGCAGCTTCTAAAAGAACAAATGTTTTATCCCCCAAACCTGACTGAGTTCAGAAGAAATTGCCAACATTAACATAGCAGCATAATTAACCCTGTGACATTCCACCTAGGTGCAAAATGTTCCCAATTAATGGGTTGAACCAATTTATTTGTCAGAATGAAGCGTAACCTGAGATGTTTCAATTGTCGGATGGTATGTCCACACCCTTTCTGCAGAACAATGCCATTTCACAGCCGAACTGATCTGAGCACTAGAATGAGGAAGACGATAATAACCGCAGCTGTAAAAATACCTTTTGGTCTTGCTAAACGCTAATAGCGTCTTCTCAGGTGATTTTTTTGTGTGCAAAAACAGCAGCGCACAAGCAGACACATCCCAAACAATCTCTGGAGCCTGAATTGTATTTGTATTTCAAGAAGTTCCAGTTTTTCTAACTTAGGTCCTAACTCCTGTTCTTGAACAAGACACAGAGGTTTTAAAAGCTCAGGAGAGCTTTTTGAAAATAAACAAAGTTAATGAAGATACGTTCCAAACTGAGACCCCGGGAATGAAATGTTTCAGTTTTTGTTTTCCCAGAGAGAAGCAGATGGAACCGAACTCACCGAGTCTTCTGGAGGCCGTTTGATCTTGATCCATTCCACAGACGGGCCCTTTACCTGCAGGAATCTGTGGAAGAGGTTCTTGAAGCCCTTAAAGTTCATGCAGACCTGAAAATGTAGACAGAAAGAGTAATATAGCAAATGGTTTACAGATTCATTTCATTCACTGTGATTATGAGGGGATTTCTTTTAAGCTACACCCACTCTACTTGTGGGAAAGAGTTAAAAATATATCCAAAGTGTACAACATTGAGATTAAAGGTTTTCATGTAACTTGTTAAAAAAAACTTATATTTAAGGGGGTTTTTTTCAGTGAAAGAAAAATGTACACAATGTCAGATCAGTCTGGTTCTGATCTATTTAAATATAGAATAGAGTATTCTATATTGTTTCAATAATTAAGTCTTATTGAAACAATAAACCGAAGAGATGAGATGAATTTATATATTTAGAATAGTGAAGAAACTCCATTAGAAATTTTGATCAGGTTAACTGCACGGTTTTAATAAAGTAATTACAATTAATCAATCACATTTTAATTCAAAAACCTGTTTTAGTGCTAAATTACACATATGCCTATTTAACAGTAAATAGACAAACAAGCTCAATAAAGAAGAAATGTATGAATGACTAATCTTAAATCTCTGATGTTTTGGGCTGAAATGCCTCAGTCTAACCCCATGAATTAAAGAAACTGGCCAATAAACCGTGTCTGTAATCCTGTAGGTGTGACGTTCTTGTATGACGCTCCAATACGCGTCAGGTTTGACTTTTCCCAGCATAGCCATCAGCCCCTCTAAATCACAACCAGATGGCCTCAGACAGAGAGGGGAGGGAAGAAGACGGGGTGTTGACGTACGTCTCTGTCGGCCCCTGTGACCGTGTTCACCAGCTTCTCCAGCTCTGCGTCCATGGAGCTCTCCAGCTGCTGCCGCATCATTTCCTGAAACTGAGCCATGCCTTTGTGGGGCACTCTTTCACTCAGACCTGAACAAACAAGACAGAAGAGAAGGAAAGGTCAAAGTTCTCTTCTTTCCACTGATGCAGCAGACCTTCATGGTGTCTCATTTCAGATTTTCAGACTCCCACCTCATTTTCTAAGCTCAGAATCATCCGTGAGATGAAATGTGGGGATTTTGCCCAGTGCTCATGTTGCACTGCTGGTCTTCCTTGAAAAATAAGTTTTGTTGTGAGACATTCGACCTCTACATGATAATGAGAACTTGTGGCTAATATTTCTCGCCAGAGAGATCTTTAATCGCGGTCAGAATGTCACATTGTCTGGTGAAGTTAGTGTAAGCCGTTGTCATAACACCAAAGCAAGTCCACCAATGACTAAGAGTTCAGGATGCATGGCTTTCACAGGGAACAGAGATGTGGCGCAATGCTTCACCAGATTGCTTCATACCACAGTCATGCATGCTGTCTACCCATGGCTTCTCTGTTTTTCATCGTTCATCCAAACACAGGGTGTACTCCTCCCTTTCAGAGTGGGCTTGTATCATAACTGGCATTTTTTGTAATCTTATGAAAACAGACGGAAAGATTTCTTGTTATCTGACAAGAAATAGTAAAATAATTACCAGATAAATTTCCTTTTAAACCCAATTTCATCACCATCCAAACCTCAAGGTAAACATCTGACATGAAGAGTAGTTGTGATTTTGATCCCCCCCCCTTTTGGTAAAAAGTGATTTGTCCATGTTTTTGTGAAACCTTTGTAAAAACAATCAAGCAAACTGATTGGATTATTGGTGAGTTTGGAGCATGAAGAGCCGTGTTACTTCCCAGCAGAAAATCCGTCACCAATGATCCTAGTAGAGAGTCTCAAAAGAAACATAAAAGCTTTATATTGCAACTATAAAAAACTGGAATAATTATGGTTAGTTTGGAAAGGTTGCAGGACTTCTGGGAAAATCCCAGTTTGATAAATAGCTGGTCAGAATGCAAAACATCATGTTCATTTAAACCAAACACCTTGCACAATCATCAACCACTCGACCAGATTTACAACATAATGGCTAAAGAATGAAGGTAAAAAGTCACAAGACAAAACAGTATGTGGATGTCTGATGTTAATGGTGGAGTTCAAAGTTCAGAGCCGTAATACAAAGCAACACTTAGGCATTGACCAAAATATAACTGCAAAGTTATCACAGACTAATAAAGCCATAAAGGAAATTACTCCTTGAGGTTTTTGCTCGCGGTCAGAATGGTGGTTCTTTGAGCTTTTGGATTTTAAGGTGTACTTTTGCAGTAATGCAGCATTAAGATGGTTTGAACAGTGCGGTAAGGCAACATTATGGCTGGGAAAGCAGCAACTCGGTCTTTACATAGCATACATTTTTTGTTTGTCCTGTTTTGGTTTTCCGTTTGTAACAATGCTGTCAGGTCCAGTTTGACCAGTTTTATGTAAAATATCTGATTAATCGGAACATCTGTGTTTTTTGTGCAAGAATCGTTATTTTGTGAGGTGAGGAGTCAATCTATAACTTTTACAAGACCCCATACAATGTTATAGCCGTAGATCACTTTAACAGGGCCAACTTAGATAACTTCTATTTCCAGAATAAAGGTTATCTGGGGACCAAACAGGTAACAATGTGGTCCATTTTCCATTTCTTTTACGTGAAGCAAACAAGCTTGAGCTACAAATTGCAGTGTGCCTGTTGATGGATATAACAAATGAAATGATAAAAATCTGAAAGATTTCATCATGAAGAAACTGAAAAAAAAAATTCAAATACAATAATAATACAAAATAAAAATGACAGTGTCATTACAAAGTGTAAGTAGAAAAATATTTAATTAAAAAGTAAATAAAAATGACATAAGTAAATGTGCAAAACTGGAGGAGTGATTAAACTATGACTTCTTTTTTAACCACTTGAAACTCCAGAGATTGAAGCGTACATATCGCTGGGCCTTCTTTAATTTCTAAATGAGTGTGAACTCACACAGTCATCCATGTGTTATTCAGAAAATCCAATATGCTGCATTAAAAAAATCAATACCGAACAATGTGGAAAAACAGTGGAGGATAAAGGAAAAATGTCTGAAACACAAGCAAAAAAAACCCAAATCCAAAATGTTTTCCCCAATCAATGTTCTTTTGTATTCATGCTTGAAATTATCCATGCTTTCCAAGACCAGACAGGAACCAGTGAGAGGCCAGCAGTACATGTCATTTCTGGATATGCAACCAAACAAAATAAAAATGTTTGTCCTAAAATTAAAAGTATTTTGAATTTTGTTTCAAAATTTTAGTGTATATTTTTTGTTGTTTGTTTGTTTGTAAAATAATAATAATAATGTAAAGAGATGAACATTAGATTTGGTATGAACAAAAGGACCAATAAAAAGACAGTTAATGATGTTAGCTTCTGTCACTTGAGTAATGAGCTAAACAATCAGGAAACAGGACAAACTAAACCTGCATACTTTAAAGGAATAAGTTGTACTTTTGCAAGTCCTTTTAGATCCTGCCTGCATTCACAATTTGTCCCAGCCGAAATGTTCAGCAGATACTAGTGAGAGAATCGCAGGAGAGACGACGTAGAAACACAAAATGCATCATCCTGATAAGCAGCTTCACTCAGTTCTCTGCCAGTGGAGGAAGTACAGAGTATCCAGGTAATTAACAGACTGTGGACACAATGATTAACAAAACACTCCATTCCATTCGCCATTATGTAGACCAACAACTTCTCTGTTAGTCATTAAAGAACATTAAAACGTGCATCAAGCTCACGGAAAGCTTTAGCAAATAAAACTCAAGAGGGTCACCTTCAATGCTCCCGTTTCCATTAGGACTGCAACTAACAATTATTTTAGACATAGATCAATTGATTACTCTGACAATTAATCAGATAAAAATACTGACACAGTCCACAGATTGATCATTTGACCACTAATGTCTTCTTTATACAATACTATAAATATACTAAGAGATATACATAAACATTTCAATTTCTTTTTTAAATCAGAAAAATTAACTTTGTTTTTTGCCTAAAACGCAGGATTTCTTTAGTGTAAACATAATCGTTTGTACTCAAGGATGATCTGCAATTTAAAAACAAAATACTAACATCACCAGTGTAGGGTAGCTTTTTTTGGGGGGGAGGGGACTTATTTATGGATTTATTTATTGATTGACTGATTTTAAGCAGTAAGAAGAGTGTTGAAGAGGACAGAGTTTCTACTGCAGCCTCAGTTTGTTCATGTGGTGTTTCAACGTTCCCATCAGTCCCAGTCAGAGTCCCACCTCGACTAACAGGTCGAGGAAGCGGCGGACGATTAAGGAACCACCTTGGCTCAACCTAATTCAATCAGTTGGGTAAAAAAGAACAAAAAAAACCCTGATAACTGGAAGACAAAGAAATATTGTAGGCAGGACTCTGACCACCAACTATACGGTCTTTAAAAATGCTAAAATTTTTAAACGTTTGGAAGGAAAAGGTTTTTCCTCAACACGGCAAGAACCGGAACCGGAACCGGATCCTTCTCCGTAGCTCACTTTGGCTGTGGAGATCATGAATGTTAGAAACATTCATGGACTGACTGGATATTGTCGGAGCTCCATTTCATAAAACAGAACAGGGTGTAAACTCCAATCAGTATCCCTACATTATGCTGTAGGGATACTGACTGGAGCTGAGCGGGAGGTGCAGGGTTTCATCCAGTGTATTGTAAGTCTGGCGGGCCACCAGGCTAAGCATTGCTTATGTAATTAAGCCTTTTTAAAATGGTTGCATTTTTTTAAGACCTTATAGTTGGCGTTCAGATCAACACTCCAGGTGTTGATCTTCAAAACTTTCAACCGATATTTTCAAATTGCCTGTCAAATTTAACTCAAAAACACGACGGGATGAATGACTGCCCTAGCACCAAACCACCCTTTACTCAAGTCTTGAGTAAAGACTTGAGAGAGGGATGAAGGTTCACTTTTCCGCCCTAAAAACACACCCAAAGATGTCATGTTCACTGGTGATTGTTATGTCTTTAAAAGTTGAGTGCAAATGCTTGGCTTTCTCTTTGCAATCACACATAAATACCTTTTGAAAAGCACTGCAAAAATAGACTAAATCAGAGACATCTGAAGACCCTGCAGGTGGTTAGAGGTTAAGACTAGTTTAAATTATATATGTATCATTTATTAGCAAAAAGAGGAGCTTCATAGTAAAAACAGAACCTTCCAGCAGTTAGGAAAAAAAAATATATTTCTGGTCTGTAGTGAGCCTACAGTGAAGCACTGCCCCACATGCTGAAAAATCATGCAACAAAAGCAGATGGATTCACGACGTTTTGCTCTGGAAAAATTAGAAAACGGGCGAGAAAAAGTCGACTCTTGACTGCACTTCATAAAAAGAAGTGACCGACAACAGACAGGGTGCAAAGGGCGAAGTCGAGACAATCCAAGCACTCCATGCTTTCGCCTGCGGGAAGCGCTGACTGAAATCTAAACAGGAGTAAAACTGACCAGCTGTAAGCAGATGAGATGGAAACTTCAGCCCTTTAGAGATGTAAATTGTTAGGTGGAAGAAAACTGCAAGTTTGGAGTCAGAATGAAACAGATGGAAGGCATTCAAGACACAACCAGGGTTAATAGAGCAGCAGCAACAGGACATCCTGTCAGATGATCCATGTCACATAGTAACATTTAGTTATAATTTAGTTGCATAGTTTTGTAAACAATGTAACACTTAAGCGTTTCAAAATAGTTTCTTACCTTCTACATAAAGTGCCATGTTTAAGCTGTCAAAGTACTACGAATCCAGTCGACAAGTTTCAATTAAAAAAATGTCACACTTATTAATTTTTTTGTCACTCCATGAGATTCAGTGTGATGAGAGAAGGGTCATTTAACACAGCCCCAAAGTGCCCATGCGATCATCGTCCATCCAGCACCAGGATCTCGGCATCCTGTCACGAGTCACACGTCTCTTATTGACAGTCAGAAGTACGAGAGAGGCGGAACCTGCTGCTGCTCGCCTTCCCGGTCACTAGTTAAATCACGTCACCAACACGGGCTGAGAGTCCAGAACTCACTTCTGTTCACGTTTTATTCCCCGCTGCCTCGCCCCCCCCCCCTGCGCGTTTTTTTACTGCTCGGCTCAGCCCGGAGAGACCACGTCTACACCGTCAATCATTACCCGATGGGATGGACAGAGTGTGTGGAAAGCATCCTCACTGTGGAGGGTGGATGGATGTCATCCAGGAATGCGGTCCTGAGGGGCGACTAATCACGCGGAAGGAAACGTTCGCTCTTCCGCTAAATAAATAAATAAATATATATATGGCAAAGCGTTTTAGCTAACTGGATGCTAGCATGTGAAACGTCTCTCCAGTTGAACGACAGTCTTCAGCACAACCCCGACAGAGCGGTATTTAGTGTGAAGCCATTTTCTTACTGTGTTACTGTGGGATGCTGGCGGAAGAAAGTCAGTAGTGTCGGTCGGCCTGGACCTCAGCAAAGAAGGCGCCGAAGACCCGCTCAGTTCTTTTTAAACCCAGGTTACCTCAAAACACCATGCCACTTTTTCCTTTACAGTTCCTCTTTGTGAAGGGTGGAGGGGGGGGAACTAAAGCGTAAATAATGAAAAACTTAAAAAGGTAAACAGTTCTGAGATATTTTACAATTCACTGCCGTTCCAAGCAAGGGCAAATAGGAACCAATGAGAGGACTTCTTTCCTGTGATGAAATTTTGGGCACCAATCGTTTTTTGCCACGTATATTCGATGTGTTTTTTTTTTTCTCTGATTGAACGTAGACGTACACGACTAGACGCAGCACTGGTTTGGTCATTGTCAAGCAGATATGGCGGTCACTCCGCCATTCTGCGAGTGGCAAGTTTGTCTCGGAAAAAACAAAAAAAAAAGCATAAGTTTACGTCGAACTATTATATTATGTATGTACAGTAATGGATGTTCACCTTGGTACTGCCTGGTTATCGAGGTAAGAACTGGCAAAATCACATGACAAAAGGAGCAACACAAAACACCCTAAACTTACTGTATTTCCCTTTTAAATTATTTTAAGCCACCTAATCTAATTAAACTTTTATGCCGTTTTGTGGAGGAAGCTAATAGCATCCAAAGAAAAACTTCTACCATTTTTTTCATAAGGGTTTGACTTCTGTAATGCCAATAAAGGTTTTTTCTACTGATTACTGAGAAGTCTCTCCGTTTGTCTCTTGAAGTTTGTTTCTGACAGGATATCTCTAAAGTTAAGAAATATGTACAAGAATCGGTTTTGAAATGAATTATTTGTTTTGTGTGTGTTCATATATTACAAAAATAGCCATTTCTACCCCACAAGAAATATAACTCATGGTAGTTTCACCTAAAACTTTTATGTGAAACTAAATATTTTAGTTTCATTAAAATATGTCACATTTAATGACATTTACAATATTTTTGCATGTTTCAACAAAAATGCCCTCTATTATGTGGCGGAAGTTTCGATTCAGCATCTACTACTAGATGTCTACGATGGGAATTGCGTTTCTTTTTCTGGATCCGAACCACTTGGCTCGACTGGAAGAGCTGGATTCTTAGACTACCAAGATTTCGGTTTTACTGGTAAACGTACGTAAGCGCGTAATTCTCACTGCATTCTTCTTATTAGCCTGACGACAAAATCTTCCATCAAAACGAGCAATGAGAGCATCTTGTACCAACCGGCTCAATATCCTGACTCGTTCACGATCAGATTTGAATTTACTGTTGTGTTAAAGCTTGTAGAAACTTTGTGCACAGAGTTAGAAACATACACGAAGCCAAAAGAAAGCTTCTTTCACCGATCTTTGTGTCTCGTTACACTTATGCCGAATTGTAACAGTCTGTGAATATTTATGCCGTGAAAAATTAAGCCTTAATCTCGGAGTGGCACATTTTTATGGTGGATTTTGTAGCCATACAGCTTGTCTTTATCAGCAATGACTGTCTATTTAATCGTACCAGTAATGATTCATTAATGAGTTCTGATGCAGGTGGGATGAGGAAATACTGCCCCCTTCTGGTGAAGCTGTGTCATTTCACTTCTCATAGGCCTCTGGAAAAAGACCAGAACGCCCTGTTGAAATATAAAAATGTGATTTTTATATTAACAATTAAAATACTGATTTAAAAAAGGTAAATGGCCAGACATGTCACAATGCTGTTTGCACAGAGGAAGATTCTAGGACATGCAGACTTTGTATTATAAAGGTGTATGAAAATATAGATTATGCTTTATAAAACAGCAATGGCTTCTTACTAACAGGGAATTTAAAAGCCAGCTGATTTGATTGGACATTTTTAATATACTTAATAAACCATGTGTTTTGAAGCAACAGTTGAGGCCTTCAGTCATGGCAGATGCTTTTTCTGAAGTCACCAAGAGCAAAAAGTGGATTCCCATTTATGAATATTATCTAAACAGTTGATATTTCTGTTATGATACAGTGCAATTGTAATGCTCAGAGTTCACATGATCACATCGAATTAACCATCCTAGTTAATTCAATGTGAATCGATCGATTAGCCAATCAGACGTCATGAAACATTGCGAGGCTGGTAAGTTGAGCCACTCAGGACAAAATACCATAAAGGTATTAAAAAGAAAAGGAGCCATATTATTTTATACACATTTTTAATTTTTAACGTTGAGTCATCAGATACAGTGTTTCATGACTTAAGTGAATCACTGACAATATGTAAGAGTCATCCATCCATTCACTCACCTCCAGAGAACAAAGTCTGATAAGCAGCTATTTTTTAAAGATCAAGTTGAACAGATCTGATAAGCAGCCAATCTGCTGCTTTTCTGATCAAGGTAAACTCATACTCATTATTTTTCTAGATTTAAAAAAAATGTCTGGCAGTGGACAAATATAAATCCGTCTAAACCCTGGCATTCTTTTTCATGTGAACATGTATATCTACAGAGAGCAGCGAAGGGGCGAAAGGAGTTCTGCATCACAGGCATGCCTCTGGAGTTTTGGGTCTACATTCTGGGGGGAGGGTTGGCCCGACCGAGTGCAGTCATACTCCCAGGAAAGCCACAGCTGTATCCCTCTCTTCTATAAGCTCTGCTGCGGTGGCGTCCATCTTGGACCGGGAAAAGTCATTGATCGCCAGGCCCTCCACAATCTTCCAGGTCTTATCCTAATGAGACAAAAAGAAAACAAAGATAGCACTCTTATAGCAAAATGATTCTCAGGGAGCTTGCTGAAATGTGAAAGCGAGGTCATATCAGAGCCACCTTGATCTGGACAGGGAACGAGTAGACGAGGTCTTCTGGGACTGCATAGCAGTTTCCAGTGGAGTAGATCCCCATAGAGGTGAATTCACCCTGTAGAAAAGACAAAGCGGGTCAAACTGTGTTTGAAATGCATTATTGTGGCATCAAAATTCAAACTAACAGCCATTAAAAATGAAGAATAATCAAAAGCTTGCACAGACATTTTCAGGGAAAGGTGCTCAAGTCAACATGGAACAGGCAGGTGACTTAATAGACAGATACATTCTTTTGTTTAAACAAAAACAATCAGTTTTAAACAATCAGGCATGTACACCAATTTCAATTACCAATAGCCATTTTCTGTCTGATGCAGATGTTTATTAATATTCTAAACTCTACAATTTGGTTTGTCTCAAACAGGCAAGGCCACAGCAAAGTATAAGCAATGCAACAACGCACAACATGGCTATCAGAGGAATCATCCATACTTCTACATGTAGCCAGTGTTGATATATGACAGAAATTATTCTTAGAAAGTTAAGATTAATTAGATTAATTACAACCTCTGGGGACTCATAACAAAATTATGTTAGGCACAGTTGCAAATATGTGGGGCATTGGTAATATTGGGTTCTAAATCCAGAAATGCTACTTATAGGGCACACACTACTATGACAGAGTATTAGGGCCACAATAATAAAAGTAAAAAATGTAATTATGGGAATAAAGTAAATAAATAAGGTCTCTAGAGCTGTGCGATTTAAATGTCAAATACATCTTTAGCATACACAGAGAGATATGTCTGTGTCCTTAAGGCTGTCATTGTTAACTGACAATCAAAATGATCCCCTCTTCAGGGATCAATAAAGTGTTATTATCTTATCATCCTTTAATATTACCAGCATTAAGTAAGAATAATATGAGAATAAAGACATATTATGAGAATAAAGTAAAAATGATAGGAGAAAAAAATGACAAGAGAAAAAAAAGTAGTATTAGGAAACTTACCTCTGGGGTACCAACCCAGATGTCCCTCATGTGGTCACAGATGGCTTTTGCTGCAGACATGGCGCTGGACAGCTTTCTCGCCTTGATGACTGCAGCACCTCTTTGTTGAACAGTCTGTAAAAAAACAACATGGACTACTTAATTAAGTCTAAAATGATTCTTAATGACATCAAAAGCTTGAGTGTCCCTTTGAAGATTGAAGCTGAAATGCTTGGACCCTGAAATGATGAAAGTTTTAATTCTTGTAGTCGCCAATTTCTACGTTATTAGGGTCAGCAAACCCCCGCCCACTGCAATAAGTGTGAAGGGTGCTCCATTTACTGCCATTATGCCATTATATCAAAAGGTACAGGTTTGGCCCTGACAGAGGAGACATCAACTCACAGCTATAAAATCCCCTTTGAGCCAAGCATCGTCCTTGACCGCGTCAAAGCACGCGAGCTCGCTGCCAGACATGTTGACCTTGCAGTGGTGCACATCTGGGTACTGGGTCGACGAGTGGTTGCCCCAGATAATGACATTCGTCACCTGCGTGGCTGGAACACCGCAGCGGATTGCCACCTGCAGCGTGTGAGAGGGTGAGAGCTCACATTTAATCACAGATTTGGTAAGCAAACAGAAACTAAAGTGCTCAAAAAGGTAAGGGACCTGGGAGCGGGCCCGGTTGTGGTCCAGACGTGTGAGGCAGGAGAAGTTTTCTTTAGGGATGGAGGGAGCGGACTTGGCTGCTATCAGGCAGTTGGTGTTTGCAGGGTTTCCCACAACCAGCACCTGAAAATGGACCCAGCTACATATAACCCTGCAAACTTATCATGTCAAGGCACAAATCTGTAACTGTAAGAAAAATGTTAAAGAAGCAACACAAAGAGAAATGATTGTTACCTTGACGGTCTTCTTAGCGTACTTATCCAAGGCGGCCCCTTGGCTCTTGAAAATGTTCACATTAGCTTTCAGAAGGTCCTTCCTCTCCATCCCTTCCTTCCTGGGCATTGAGCCCACCAGGATGGCAACGTCCAGGTCTTTGAAGGCCACCTCCTCCTTGTCAGTGGGCACGATATCTGTGAAAGGAGAAAATAAGCTGCTGGTTAATTGTTTTTTTACAATAAAATCCCAAAACCTGAGGACAAGATCTTATCAAGAAATGCACCATAAGGAGGTTAAATGACAATAGGCCTGTAGCTCTGATGTCTGTTGATGTCTGTGGTAATGCAATTCTTTGAGTGAGTGGTGTTGAAGCAGCTGAAGGACATCCCAGTAATCTGCAGAACCCCCTGCTGTTTGCTTTCTGAGCAAACAGGTCAGCAGTCAACTTGGGACTTAACTTCATCCTGCACCACCTCGATCGCTCAGGGACATTTGCCAGGATCCTGTTTGTGGACTTCAGCTCAGCTTTCAACACTATCAAACCAGATATCCATCACTGTAAGCTCCCACATAAAAACCATCAGCACAGGCACCCCAAACCCAAGAGGTGTGCAACACTGACCGGACTCCCGAAGTTGGCAAGCGATACGACTGTCACTGGTCTGATCCAGTACATTGATGAGTCTGCATACATACAGGAGGTGGATTGGCTGATCCACCATTTTGGTCAGAAACACCTTGAGTTTAACAGTGAGATAACAGTGAACTTGAGATAACAGTGAACTTTCAGATGACACACCCTACCATCTTTAACAGTGTTCCCTATGGATCACTTCAAGTTCAAGGGAGTCACCCGTTGTCGAGACCTGAGATGGTCCTCATACATAGACATTATTTGGAAGAGACTACTTCATGATGGTCATCTTCTATATGGCCACCATTCAGACCATCCTGTGCTTGTCCATCACTGTGCAGTTTGGCTAATCCACAAAACAGGATAAGTTCATAACACAACAAACAACTAGGTATGTTGAGAGAATCATCTCAGGCCGATCTTCCCTCCAAATAGGTCTTGTACAATTCTAGGGTCAAGAAACAAACCACTGGTATTTTTGCAGACTCCACATATCCTGGAAACTGTTGGGACTTTTACATTCAGGTTAGTGCTACATAGCGTTATTTGAAGAAAAACAGCTGTCACAAAGAGCTTCTATCCTAGACTCTCCAATGAACACTCAACACTCAGTGCCCTGATTGAAACCATGCATTTTGCACCAATTCAACCTCGTCTTCCTTGGTAAATGTGTAAAACAGCGTTTTACACATTTTGTCCCTTGAGTTTGTGGGCTGTTTTGTGCATAAATTGTGCTTTGGTCAGACTAAAAATGACTTGGCAATTAAAAACAAACAAACAAAACAAATCAAGCTATAGACAATGGTCACACACTAGAGTGAAAAACATAGCTAAATGGACCCTGAACATTTATCATGGAGACCCAGAATTGTATCTGTCCATTTCTGTGTTTAAAGTGCTGTATTTGCACTGCAGCTGGTTAATACAGGGGCCACTCAGTGCCTGTCCAAACAAAGCATCATTTCACAGAGAAAAAAAACAACAATCTAGGTCACAATGGAGTTGGCGCAAAATGGCCCCTCACACTCGATCTCATGATGAGGGTTACAAAGGCGACACCTAAAGACTTTTAGACACGAAGGTCACGTGGTCTGAACTAAAGTCTCCAGAGGAGACAAAGCAGATCCGTACACAATTCCTGGGGTTAACATTTAGTTCAGAGAGTAAAAGACAATCATTTCTACCCCAAATAAAAAGTGTGATAAAAGGGCCTCAGGAGTGGATAGTTGTTATTGTTAGATAATTTGGGAATGCTTGAAATAAGAATTTATATGATTTGAAAACCAGACTTAAAATTGACACTAAATTGAACAAGTGAACAAGTAGTCGTACTTTTTTTGTCACTCCAGTTAATGTTTTCTAACCCATCTTGGAGATTGAGGAATTAAAGGTGATTGCTACAATCATTTCATGACATACTGTAAAGACTTCAAAAACTAACATCTACTAGCAGGAGCTTGCTCAGCCCATTTAGGCCAGTGAAAGAAAAACAGCTGATAGGCCTCAATGGGTAGCAAGACAAAGCTGAATATTAAGCGATTAAGAAATTCTTTAAAATTTTAGCATTATTATGGAAGTTTGCTTTCCTTAATTTGTAAAAATACAAAACCACAAGCATTCACAGTGTGTAGGTCACATTTAAAAAGGCGCAAAATAGAAGTAGAAAGGGAAAATTTGGCAACATGCGGGTAAGAGAAGTAGACTATCAATTGGGGCAAATTTACCTGGAACCAATACCACTAAAAGCCTATCCAAGTACACACATTTAAGTGATTTGTTATTTCTTATACAGAAAAAAAAAAGACCCAAAAACGAGCTCAATGATGATACAAGAACATTCACAAATAAGACGTGTGAATAATTTATTTATTTGAGAAATCCCAGCCATAAAATTGCTCACTAAATCAGCAATACAAATCTAATTATTATTATGTAACCAAAGACCGCAGGGGGGAATTTCAAAAATTTATGAATCATAAATAGAGATGAATGCCACTGGGGTTGTAAAACAGGCCCAGCAGTGACTTTACTTTGTGAGAAAATTTAACTAAACATAACTCCCTACCTGTATTCTCACTGCATTTTTACAGAGACCAAGAGTTTGATTACACACAGCATCTCATCGTGGTACCCTGGCTGCAATACGGCAGACATGAAGGCTCTGCAAAAGAGAGTGACGGGAGCTGAGAAGTTCACTAAATTCTGTTCAGCGCTAAACGGAACGGGACATCTCACAATCACGTCGATAAGATTTTAAATAGCTTTTTAATAGAAAGTGCATGTGTTTCAGCCATTTTGTTGAAGACACATGTGTGCTTTATGCAATTAGTCATCTTTTTACACAAACCTGGTGAATGATCCCTAGAAAGAGATCTCATTTTATTGCATTGTTGAATTTATTTTCCTCATAGTTTGAAATGTTTACCTCTCAGAAGTGGAAGGGAACAGTCCTGCAGCTCCATGACCACACCCTCCAACACTGGCAGCATGGGAGTAATGTCCAAAAGAAGCAAGATGATTGGCTAATAAATGAAAGAGTGAGAGATATTTAGTATTAGATTGAAAATAATGAAGCATATTAAATTAATGTGGTGTGTATTTAATTCTGAAGTGTATTGTGCGAGGCTTCAGACAGACTGCACGAGTAAAGCTGTAAGACTTGGTGACAACTGTGTGTGCCAAACGGATCAAGTGGTTTTAAAAATGGACTAAGACACTTGGCACAAGATCCTCCTCACTGACTTCAAGGACAATCCTCTTTCATCGGAGGCCGCATGGGTGAGCGAGTAGAGTCTGTTCAACTCCAACATAGCCAACATATGCTCATTGCCACCCCCTTCAAAATATGGCGTGGGGCATTCTCCACATACACAGCAGTTTCCGAACACCTGTCAATATCTGTCACACTGTAACTGCACCACATAATGAGATAATGGGCTTTAGCGGGTTGTTAGGGCACAATAAAGGCCATCTTTACCTGATCTTTGCCAAAGACATCTCCCTTGGCAATGCTCAGCAACAAAGAGTATGCAATTTGTCCAGCAGCGCCGGTCACCAGAACTCTGATAGGCTCAGACTGAAAAATACAAATTCAAGAAACAGAAGTACAAATTTTCTTGCTTTCAGAAAGGCGGTTTTCTGAAGGTGGCAGCTAAATTAATTTTTTTATACACATAGCAGGGGGGTCTCTGTTTTTGTTAACTGGATTAAATAGATCAGGGGGTCAATGTATTAATAGACCCTTTGGTCTCTATTAGGATCCTACTGTTGCATAACAAAACCAGGATAAATTTAGGTTATCAGCTGATCCACATCTCTACCATTCATTCATTCATGACCTTAAATTTCACTCTAACGCAAAATAAGCACATCGTTTTAATAGAGAACAAATGAACTACAAATTGTATAAACTTTCTTGTCTTTCACCAACTTACTTCAAATTAAACACATGTTTTTATCACTAACTAAAAGAAAAATGACAACACTGTTCACTCGACGAGTTTAATATATATCTACAATACTTTGGAAAAGAAAATTCCTTAATTGAGCATCTTCTGCTTCTAGTACTTACCATGCTGACAGAACTCGAACTGCTCTCCCCCCACTTCTGACTGACGAATGAAGTCACTCCTATTTAAAGCCTCTTTTCACTACGACACTTTTACTTGTCATACGGCAGACTGAGCATGTATGGAATTGTAGTTCATTATCGTTACAGTCAAAGCCTTTATCGAAAGGTGCTAACTCAGCTCAAGAAAACAACAATTAGATATTATTTTGAATTCTTCTCGGTGTTGAAAAAGTGCTTTCATTTGGTATTCGATTGAATTAACACCATATGCGATGGGTACTGAGCTCAATAACCGCTTTTTAGAACACCAAGTGAGCTAGCTAGCTAGAATTAGCCCTTTTAGAGCCGCGTGTGGTTGCTTAGCGACGTAGAAGCCGCGAGCGCTGCTAGCTGGTAGCCTAGCCGCTTGTCAGAAGGACACACAGAACAAGGACTTCAGAAACAACAACTGGCACAGCAGTGACCTTAGCATAAATTATTCACATAAGATAAAGCGATATAAACAAGTTCAGTGAGAGACGGGCATTAAGTTTGGATAAGTCTCGTTCACGTCCTGACGAAACTTGCAACCATTTAAAGTGAAAAGTGTGTTGCCAACTGAATGCCAAGAATATAACAAAGATAAGGTAATGACTGTATTTATCTTTTCCTCTAATTTTACTTTTTGTGTTTGTATGAGTGATGTTCATCTTGACGCATATGTGCATTGTTTTTAGAAAAACCGTCTTACAATGCCGTTATCGTGTTTCTTTAGTAACGTAGCATTACACTGACATATTTCCAAACACTGAAATTGCATTACCTAATATAGGGTAATATTTAATAATGGTCATTGTCTCCGTGAAAATTGTGGCGTTACTATCTAGATTTTAGAACATACAGTTAGAAATATTTAAAACAACTAAACAACTAAAGGAAATTTCTAATTTAATATTTAATATAAACTTTACATTTCCCATGTAAAGTTTAGCAGGGGAATAATGACAGCAATTAAAAAGGGCCTGGTGTGTGTATGTGTGTTCAGCATCTAAAAGCTTACATCAATGTCTCTAAAGAAAATATAAGTAAGGTTCTATACATTTTGCACCCCACTTGCCAGAATTTCGGCAGCAAGACCTGATTTAAGATGACTCCTCAAGTTTTTATTAGAATATTTTTGTCTCATTTGGCTCCTTTTTTCTTGGTTTGTGTGTTTATTATGACATTTATTTACACAGGTCAATAAACAGATTGACATGTGTGTAGAGTAGTCTCTCTGCAAATCCAACAACAACAGCAAAAAAATACTATTATACTTATTTGAAGTGAGGGAAACAGAATTGAGAAGTTTGCTCAGCTTTAGAAATAAAGTTCACATTGTGAAAAAAATTAATGTTGTAACTGAGATAACATTTTATTAATTTATTACAAAAAATGTGTTCTGTGTTTTATTTATCAATTAAGGTCAAAGGTGAAACACAAACTGAGTAGCTTTTTCCAATCATGTGTGTTGATATTTTCAACTCCAGATCACTGTATTAAACTATTTTAATCTAAATTAAACATGACACGTTTTCTTGTTTCTGAGGTGGTTAAAGGTACAATATTTGAAAGAAAATTGTGTCATATCTGTTGTTGGTTTCCAACACTTATCAGAGTAAAACAGCTGAATGTAGTTTATCCATAGTTTTCATTTGAGGCTTATGTATCCAACGTAATTTTCTGAAAGTAAATTAATATTTACATTTTCTTATTGTTCTGGTTTTAAGATTGACCACACATCACTAACATGAGACTTCACCTGGCCTTAATTTATGTGTTCTCACCTAACAGTGACAGAGCCCGATCTGCATGCTCCCTTTCTCGAGATGGTCTGTGTTTGATAGTTTCATTCAGAGCTGTATAAAGCAGCTGTTGTTTCCTGTTTAATTTGTACCCTTATGGGTAATAAATACTCGCTTTACATTGGTACTGGCATGAGGAAAATCAGGAGTCTGTAGCTTTCAGTTTATGACTGTGAGTTTAAGATCATGGAAAGAACAATGCAATATTGAAATTTCCGTACCATTGAATCTGCCTGAAAATATGTCGCGCGCACTAACTTAAAAGATTTTGTGCATACGAAGGCTGTAGATGTCCACATTGTACCATTAGACATTTAGACAGAAATGTCTAATGTTACTTTTTTTATATAATGTTATTTTTTTTGTATTTTTACGAAATACATACTCGTAGCATACACAAACGTTTTTTCCCAAACATTTGTGTGTATTTAGAAAACATACACCAATGTATATGTTGGTGCTGCACCACTTGTATGAAATGACACAAAAACCTCAGACGCAAACATGAGCTCAACAGCTGATGCTCCTTGTTGAGGAGTGGCCTAACACAAGGAATGCAACACTTGTAGAACAGTAAGGCGATATGGAGACCCACACCTTGTGAATCCCCCCCTTGTGACATGAAGAAGTCTTGATATCTTCATGATCACCTGAATGTTGCGATTAGTACAATGTTTGAATTAATAAAAAGAGTAGATTGACATGTTTGTCTTGTTCACCTGCTTACAAGTAAACAAGACAAAACAAGTGGGAGGAATAGTAATATCAGACAAAATAATGTGCTTTAGATGGCAACATTTTCTTAAATTTAGAGTTCATTAATGAAATGTCCATTTTCCCAAATTTCATAGCTTTCAATGCATTCAGTAAAATCCCATTAGGTCTGTTATTATTCTTTAAGGCATGTGACAGCAATGACTGCATTGCTGTGAATGTTACTTGATCCGTCTGACTACAGTGTTTGTTTTCCTCTCTGACAGTCTCCACAGTCAGCTTGACATGAGGGGATTAGGCATACTTTGTCTTCTTGAAAAAAGGAAATCGTAATAAACCAAGAAACAGCAGCTGGCCGCCTGATAGTATCTGGTGCCAGCTTGCATGCTAGCTTGATCCTTTGTGTTTGTGCAAGTGTGAAAACTATCGGCATTGTGGGTGTTTTTTTAGAGGTGAGACCTGGAGCAGAGAGGCAAAAGAAAATAGAAAGAGGTCATATGTGTATAATAATATATGTACAAAGTGTAGCAATGGATGATTCACATTCATGTGCGCACACGCAGAACCTATATTCTCGTTCCTGCTTTAAGTGACAAAGGTCCTTATAAGCATTTGACAGCATGTCCCCTGTCCACTACATCTCCTACTTTTCTTGTTCATCTCTTCAGCTCTATCTCCACACTCCCCATTTTATCTCTTCCTATTCTACCCCTCCATTTGTCCCTGTAGAGAGCACCTGAGTGACCCTGTTACACTGGCGCTTGAAGGCAGGCAGGGCGGTCGCACCCACCGGCCTCGGTATCGCCCCTTCTTATCTGCCTTCAGTAGACCAAATAGCCCTGACAGACTATCAGCGCTCACAATGAGATTGTAGGTTGCACTGAAACACAAAAGCACACAAAAAAGACACAAGCCCAGCAGATAATTGCATTACCGTGACTGTTATCTCTCAGTCAGTTCAGCATCTCTTTTCTTCCGACATCACTTTATTTACCTTGTGATGTTCCTGTGTCTTTGAAGCGTCATGTCCCTGCCTTAGATTAGCTGATGAAGTTGTAGAGATGAGTTTTGTCCCACTGTATCTTCGTCACAGTGGGTTTCAACAAAAACCCATGCGAACCTTGCAGTAACAATCGTAATTCACCAGGCGCCAGTATGCGGCCAGTTTTAAGTGCCTGGACATCACTTTTCCCAGCATTTGGGAAAAGATGTTTTCTTTTTTTCCTGTGAAGAAGCTTCTGTAGCACTTGTTGCCATAGCAGAAGCTTTGTGTTTGAGTAAGAGATTATAAGCTGGCAGTTTCCAGTTCAAAGTCTCATACTGAAATTTGATAACTATGAAAAAGCTAAGGATTTTAACACTACTTTGCTTTGTTTGACAAAATTATGAGTGGTTTATACAGCACATGTAAAGCTATTCCACTTCTCTGCTCTGGCTAGGTATCTAAAAAAAGTATAGACTTCAGGTCATCACAGATTTATTTAGCGGTAAAGACTATAATGCAAAAAGAAGGCATAGGAAAAATGTGGTAGATATTGTATTGCTGTGATACTCATACCCTGCACTTTTCCACTTTTTGTCACAATGCAACCATAAAATCAAATTTCCTTCCTTAAAATGTTAGAAAAATTATATGTTGATTTCAAAATTCTTAAGTAGATGTTTAGAAAGTGTGATCTGCATTTGTGTTCATTTAGCCTCATAGTGGACTCTCTTACGGTTTAGTCTTGGATTTTCTGTGGAATGTAGTACATAATTATTTGCAAAAATAATTTATGGATTTTTTTTATATTGCACATCAAAAATATTCAAAAAGAAATACAGCTTGGGTAGCTGAATTACCTAGCCGCAATCCTATTTGGCATGGTATTGCCTGGCTATTACAAATCAGCCAATCAAGGAGCACTGGGGTAGAGTCAGTCCATGGCACTGATTGACTCTACCTCAAAAGATTGTTGGCAGAAGACTTTAGATCGCTGGTCACACAGACCTTGAGAGTCCTGCAACTTTTACATGTGTCCTTTATCCCAAAATTTAATGTCTAAACTGCATCACTAGCATTAAGCCATGCTCTGCAGAGCTCTGCTAATGATGAGCTAATATTGGAGCCAGATGTGCTGAAGCAGAGAGACATCTAAACCTTGCAGGACTTGGGCCTTGAGGATTGGAGCTTGAGTCTGCTGCTGTAGACTTCAGCTTCTGTATTAGTGCCAAGATGATTTCCACTGTTTGTATTAATGCATATTAAGGTACATTTTGTGTTTGAATTATTGAAACAGGGAGTTACAGGCGTTTTTAGAGGGGATCTCAAGTCTTCATGGATTTCAACAGTGGTCCGTGACCTCCACAAGTACGAGCAGTACACTACATCCGTAGCACCTTCAGAAGTCACCTACATGTTAAATTGGCTCCATATATGTGTAATTTATTCTCAATAGAAATCTAGATGTTCTGTGAAGGCCTTTAGATTTTTTTTGGAGGACACTAGGGAACAAACAACTTCATCGAGATCAAGGAACACATCACTAAACTGCACACAGAAGACTATATTCGAAGAAAAACTATCAATGAACACACCACTAGCACACCATCGCAATGGTGACACATGATGCTGGTGTCATGTGGAAATGGGCCTTTCTTCAGCAAGAACAGGAAAGCTGATCAGATTGATTGAAACTAATTGCACCTGTTGCAAGCTGAAATAGGTTTGAGAATGGGTCATGGGTGCTCTGTCCAGCAGGACAATGGCCCTAAACATTCAACTAGAGGAAATGTGGCAAGACTTAGAAAAGGTATTCTCTGTCCAATCTGACTGAGCAAGAGCCATTTCAAAAAACGAATAAACATTCCAATCTTGAGATGTTTGAAGCAGATGGAGACTCATCCCAAAATATATGCTGCTAAATTGCTTTAAAACCATGTTTTCATTTCGTTCTATATGTATTTGGAATTTTGCATTAGTCTGTCACATAAATCCCAATAAAATATGTTAAAGTTTGCTACTGGAATGTGGCAGAGTGTGAAAAAGTGTTAAGGATTATGAATCCGTTCACAAAGCTAACAAAAAATTTGCCTATATTGAAGTATTT